TGTGTATTCAAGTGAATCTTACATGAAAAGTATGAACTTTCAAAGAAGACTGATGATGATGTAATATTTCGTGTCGAAGCGGTTGTAATAAATTATTATGGAGAGCTTATTTGAGTTAATGTAATATATATATTTTTTTTTTTTCCGACGCCATACAACGTTGTACATAATATTATGCGCGCCAAGATAAAGAAGAAAATTGGTCGATCAACGATTCTTTTTCCATAGATGGGGAAACGTCGTCGATAATCTCTTGTCTACATTATTTTGTTCTTTAGTTTAAAAAAAAATAAATAAATAAAGTGGACCAGTGTTTTTAAAAGTATACAATGTTTTCCTTTTTTTTTTAAACATATATAATATATTGATAATATACATAGTTTTATGTAAATATTGAAGTTGTGTAACAAAGCGATTTGATAAAGTTAACAAAGTTGCATGGGCTCATTGTTACAATCGTTAAGTTGTAATACAATTCCAGTTAGTTTTTCTGCAATTCCATAGGTAAAACAATTACACTTTTAACGTGTCGACAATCGATAAATAACAATATACCTAAAAAGTACGCATGTATAATTGTATAATAGCTGAACTCTATTGGTATGCAAGCGTTGCATTATAATTTATTAAACTCGATAAATTTGTAAAGTGTGTAAGTATCTTCTGGCATTATGGCGTGTATAATTCGGATTGTGGAATTATTTCAAATTGAAAGTTCACAATAGACCTTGTCGATTAAATTGCAATGTAAGATATTTAAAAAAAAATCTTTTTAAGAAAATTCAATGAAAACACTTTACTACTGCTGAGAGTACAAGTACATCTTAAAAGAAGTAACGCAGCTTTTTCTCAATGATGATACTCTACTTTTTACCATATAATCAACATTATCATATATTATATAAATACCTATATATACCATTGGGGACTAAGTATCAATAGAAATTTTTGGCAAGGAAATGAAAAACACAGCTGTGAGTATGAGTACGATAAGAGTGCACTGACTGAGACCAAAAAATCTCTAAAATAAACCAAAGTAGCGTGTGTCTCCATAAGGACTACGTGATGAGTAATTTGTTCAATTAACAAATAAAAATAACTGTTGTTTTTAGATGCAGAGTCAGATAATAGTATAGAGATATCGACAAAGCGACCACCAGGTAGACCAAGGCTTTTAAAAACAAAAAAGAATCGTAAGTTCTCCGTATAAAACTGGACCAATACTAAATTATCTCATTTTGTGCAATTGTCATGGAAAATATGGGCTTATTTATTATTATTCATTGATTGAATGTTGTATGTGTGTTACCGATTATAAGTATTAGGGTTATTTATAACGATTTATAATAAAAAGAAATAAGCTTAATTGTTAAATTAATACGGTTCGCAGATAATATAAAAATACTGTAACAGTAACGTCATAAATTCTTATTTTTATGGGTTCCATATTATTTTGTTTCGAAGTAAAGTTTTACTTAAATTCACTTGTGTTATTATTGTTACTGATTCAATGCTACAAACTTGTGATTTTGATAAGACAAATTTTGTAAATTAATATTACAGTAGTGGTAAATAACCACATAGTTTATGTTACTACATCAATAATTACAACAACTTTAGCTAATTGGAGTAAATAAAGTAAAAACTTGTATATTAACCTACATTGTATTCGCAAATTTCCATGTATAATACGTGTTAAATATTTTCGATCATTTATCAACTTATTGGACTGAAAAAATTGATATTTATTAGAGATAAAAGAGAAACATCTTTGAAATAATCAATAACTAATTGGTTACATATTCGTTTGTTTATTCATTTGTTCGTTTCTTTTTACAAGATAAATCAGCCCGTTCTCAATAATGTATGATACGGTATTGAAGGCAAAATAATTAAAAATTATCGAGTATGTAACTATTAAAATTCAATTTAAAAGTAAAACTATACTTAACTTATCTTTTGCTTGATTAATTTTCGAACTTGAATTGTTTTTAAATGACAATTATTTGACTTATAACTGTGCAATCTTTTCTCTTATAGTCTTTGTAGGAGATTACGTATTATATGTACCAAATGAAATATCATAATTCAAAAAATCCATGACTAGTACACACAAATTGTTAGTCCAGGTGTGAAAGCCAAAGTGTTCCATTTTTAAGATATCGATCCTCGTCACTTTCTCAAGTCAATAATTAGAAGAAAAGTCGTCAAAACAAAAATAATGGTTTTTAGGAAATATTAATATACAGGATCCTTTTGAACAATTTACGTGATTACAACAAAAGAATGTATCTTCATTTATTGCTATTTTCAATTTTTTGTGTAAAAATTATTGGCCTACGTATAATTAATAAATTTCTTTTAATTTGTTTTTTTTCCTGTCGAAAAAAAATTTCTTCATGAAATATTTGCGAATTTTTTCAACCAGCTTTCCGTAAACCGATTTTTCTAAAATACGTACGATTTTTCTTATACTAATCATATTGAGATAGTATCAAGAATTACTGTTAAAAAAAAAAAAAAATCACGCCTGGACTCTGTAGTCAGTAATCTATCTTTCGATTGTTTCATAACACATATCGATCCGTTTCTTTGTAGCCACGAGTCAGGGAAAACTTTGGGAATTCATAAGAGATCTGCTGCGTAATAGAAAAACCTGTCCGAGTCTAATATGTTGGGAGAACTATTCAGAAGCGAAATTTCGCTTTGTTCGCAGCGATGAGGTAGCAAAGCTTTGGGGTTCGCGTAAGGGCAACACGAAAATGACATACGAAAAGCTCAGCCGTGCCATGAGGTAAAAATAAGAAAAATCCTAACAATATCCTTTGAGTAAATAATGCATTACCGATCGATTGCTTGACGTACTTTTTACCCTTTGTTTCAATTTTCCAGGTATTATTACAAGAGAAAAATTTTCCTTCCAGTCCTTGGACGCCGATTAGTGTATCAATTCGGGCCCAACGCAACGGGATGGCAGACGGAAGATCCAAATTTTCGTAATCCATCCTGAACACCACGTTCCGTATTTTTCTGCGTGTACATGTGTGCCAAATCAAAGATTTATTGTGCCAGAATCCATATATACCGGTGTACCGAACAAAGGTGAATCGAATATAGTATTTCAAACAACAAAACGATATTAATCGTGTGCCTTTCGCGTAACGTGTGCCCGATGTGTATTCAAGTGAATCTTACATGAAAAGTATGAACTTTCAAAGAAGACTGATGATGATGTAATATTTCGTGTCGAAGCGGTTGTAATAAATTATTATGGAGAGCTTATTTGAGTTAATGTAATATATATATTTTTTTTTTTTCCGACGCCATACAACGTTGTACATAATATTATGCGCGCCAAGATAAAGAAGAAAATTGGTCGATCAACGATTCTTTTTCCATAGATGGGGAAACGTCGTCGATAATCTCTTGTCTACATTATTTTGTTCTTTAGTTTAAAAAAAAATAAATAAATAAAGTGGACCAGTGTTTTTAAAAGTATACAATGTTTTCCTTTTTTTTTTAAACATATATAATATATTGATAATATACATAGTTTTATGTAAATATTGAAGTTGTGTAACAAAGCGATTTGATAAAGTTAACAAAGTTGCATGGGCTCATTGTTACAATCGTTAAGTTGTAATACAATTCCAGTTAGTTTTTCTGCAATTCCATAGGTAAAACAATTACACTTTTAACGTGTCGACAATCGATAAATAACAATATACCTAAAAAGTACGCATGTATAATTGTATAATAGCTGAACTCTATTGGTATGCAAGCGTTGCATTATAATTTATTAAACTCGATAAATTTGTAAAGTGTGTAAGTATCTTCTGGCATTATGGCGTGTATAATTCGGATTGTGGAATTATTTCAAATTGAAAGTTCACAATAGACCTTGTCGCTGTTACATATTATTTATAGCCTACTTAATAGCCTAGGGATTTACGCACTATCAATTCAACGGCACAAGCTCTCCTTCTACATTAGCAATCTCTTTTCTCAATCTGTCTCTCTCTACACTACTATATCACAGAATTATTATAATAGATTAAAAATTGTATATACTTTTCCTATTCATATAGCAAAATTCTTTTGCCTGGCCACTACTAAGCTATTATTATTTTTTCATGTGTACATATTTTTCTTTTTATTATTAAAAAATCGATAATTAATTCAAAATGACGGTAGAGTATTGGTAAAAAGGAATCGAAAAGCCGAGATAAATTGATGCAAAAAATTATCTTTGCTGAAAGTCTGTCCAACATTTTATTCACTATCAATTTGTTATGACGAAAAAATTAATCAAGCGATTCAAATGCTAAATGTGAAAATTTTTGCTATCTTAGGTTTTTTTTTTCAATTTCTTTTTTACTAATTTATCTATTAAATGCATAACGCGAAAAATATTTTTTCGACCGCGAGAATTGAAAAAATCTATAAGTAGTAACTTTCACTATTTCTTGTTTCGTATATTTAATAACAACCTTTCAGTGACTTTGAAATTCTTAATTGTTAAACGCTACACCTTAAGTTTTGTACGGTACTTTATAATATTTCGCAATAATTTCTTATATTTTTATTTTATTTGCGGCAAAATTAGCGAACGCTCTAAAGGCACGAAATTCGGAAGATTGGAACTACAGTATATAGTATATGGTACTACATTATAATACAATCGCTCTTTTTAAGATGGACGCTAAATAGTGCGTTCTTAAAACCCGAGATTGTAAGATTTCTTTTTCAACCAAATTATTTTTTGTACAGCTTTTCGCTGTAATACAGTTAAGATTAATCCGTCCCTCAAATAGTTGTAACTTTTAAGTATCAATTCATTGATTTCTCAAACTAGCAGTAATTAGAAGATTGTACAGTGCAGCATTGTGAGTGCAAAATTGATTTGTTCCAGTTAATGTGGAAAATAGAAATAGCAAAAATAGGATATTGTGGAATCAAAATTCCAAAAATTAGTTCATTTATCGATACGAAATCAACGTATCATAAACTGTGTGTGTTACATTCAAAAAAGTTAAAATATACATATCTAATAAACTATACGTACGTTCAGAACCAATAAAAATAGAAGGATTTCGAGCGCAAAAATGATTGTTGAAAGGCGTCAATTTTTCGGTTATTACTTTTAATCCAAGTAATAGACTTGACTAACATCCTTTATCTGGATTGTCACGATTAATCCACGGACGTCTTTTACGTGTCTTCGGCATATTAACTTACCAGTGACAACTTCACCTGTAATAATAAAAAAAATTGTTGATGATCGTTAATAATAATATTCAATGAAGTAAATCATTGATAAAAGGGCTAAATAGTGCTTGCTTAAAACAAAAATTTTTTCTAAAAATAGATACTTGCCTTCTGTGATGCTGATAGGCTCACTCAGCGAAAACACTGTTTGTTTCCAATGAGTAGGGGTGGCATGGGGTCCTGTGCTAAAATGAACAGGATTTTCCAAATCGAAAAATACGTCAAAATAACCGATGATTGCTGTTAATGATCCACTTCTTTTAACAGTGAGGTTGAACATTGACGAAAAGTTGACGCAATCAGTGGTTGCTTTGTAGAGATCAAATGATTGTATTTCAGCGACGGTCGTTACGATATCTTGTGAATTACAAATTTCTATGCTAGGCTCTCGGACTACTTCGGCTTTCATACAGCTCATTTTGAAGCCATAAACATTCGACCAATAGTCTACCAAGTCTACATAGCGCTCTAAAAAATACAAGTTTTAATTCTTTTAATCTTGATACGCTTGATAATTTATCTTTCTGACAGAATCTTACTTGTATCTCCACTTCCGACAAGACTGATTGTACATCTATTTGGCAAAAGATATCCTCCCGGCTTTAAATAATGGTCCCTGGCATATATTACAGAATCAAGCATACCCTCGAATAATAAAAAATATCCCATCCACTCGGATACAATCGCATCAACTTTTTCTACATCTAGTTCAATATTTTCAAGTCTTCCTTTCTTGAGTGTAATAATACTAGTAAGATTATTTTCCCTATGAAATTGATCGATTATTAATTAATAGTTATGAAAACAAACTTACTCACTATAAGATTTACCTAACTATATCCATTGCATGGTAAATAATATCCGATTGATCAACGCTTATGACTTTTTTACATCCAGATTTAGCAGCAAACATCGAAAGAATTCCAGTGCCACAACCAACATCAAGCATCACACAATTATTGAATATATGTGAATTTGTCAGAAGAGCGTCACGATAACTTTCAGTTCTCACTTTGTCCTGTAATTGATAAAAAAATGTCTGTTCAAATATTATTGTTTACCGGAAAATTTTAAGTAAAAGAAAATATATACGCCAATTACTGTTAACATTTCGTGATGAATGGCAAAATGGCTGTAAGTATTGAAATATCCTTGGTCAGAAGTAGACGGCACATTTTTGACACACTTTTCTTTACAATTTGTCACATCATCTTCATCAAACACCAGCTTGTGAGCTTTTTTAGTCATTTCTTCGATTTGCTGCAAATTAAACAGAAACCTCGTGTTATTCAATACTAATAATTTTTGCAATGTATTTTTACGTAATTTATCCAACCTGTTTGGCTAACAGACAAGCCAAATCTCGTTGTTCCAGTTGAGCTTTTAAAGACTGAATCGTCCTTTGCAGTTCAGCAAAATGCAACTCGGATAAAGTAACACCCTCTTGTCCGGAATTCACAGGGTATTCATCAGAATTTTTTACATCACCCAACTCATCTAAATCTGAATAAAGACAATTTATATATATATTTAATTTTTAATCTTCACCTATGCTTTATCAGTTGTATTTTTTTTTTTTTTTGTATCATACCAAACATCAGCCAAGGATCATCCTGAAAGACAGGCGTCAAGTACTCGTCGCTCTCCCAAGTCTTCACAGTCAAGGCATTAAGATCTTCAGGGCTGATCTTTTTCTTTCTTATAAAATTGATCAGTTTAATGTAGGTATAAACATCAAGCGCGTGTTTGTCCTTGAATAATGCAAAGTTGAATCCGTGGTCCGACTCCAGATGCTGCAACGAGTCCTTGAAACTCTTGCTTGTTTCATCGCAGAATAGGCACTGTATGACCTGCACCTCGTCGTTTACTTCCTCCCAGTCGTCGTCGCTCCCCGACTCGCTTATCCCATCCATGTGAACTACGTGGTTCTGCAGCTTCTCCTGTTCCTGATGCAGCAGCGAGTTCTCTGAAAATCAGCCCAAGACTTTTCGTAGGTACGTGCTCGATTGATTCCTTTTTCGGCGACAAAAATAACTTTATCCTCGAGAGATGAAAAACCGATCAATAATTGATGGTCATATATAATGAATTCTTTCAAATTTAGAGCTTTGCAGAAGTGTGGGTTTTACACGCGCACATTTTTTCTTTATTGTTTGCTGCATTATTGATTGGAAAAAAAAAAAAAAAAAAAAAAAAATCACCAATAGAATGAGGGGAGAGCAGAGAAAAAGAATTGCACGTGCACTTAGAATGAAAAAAAAAGAAGGAACGAGAAGAACGTCCACTTTAGATGGACGAACTAAGCTTTAATAACCATTAAGTAGAAAGTACATTACACTTGACGGTGGAGTGCACACTTACCCTTGTTGCTCATGCTTTTACTTTCTTTCTTTTCGTGCGAATATACTTATACTCATATAATAGTGGTGCAAAAATAGTTAAACGATAGCGTGCAGTAATTTCATTGAGGCGCAGACACGTGTTACAAGCTTATCTTACAAGTAAATAGGATTACTCCCGCAAGCTTCGACTCTCCACTCTGCCACACACTTTTCTCTCTAATCTTAGAATTCGGAGCTCTTTTTATTTAATTATGTTATCGCTTCATCGAACTCTTCGCTATTGGTAGTAGGTAAGTAAGAGTGTAGGATTCTGACATTTCTGTGGTCGGTAACATTGCAGCTTGCAGCATAGCCGACAAAAGATAAAACGCCCATGTAGATACTGCAAATAGCTTTTTTACCTCTCGTCTACACAATCACACATTTTATACTCATGCATTTGTGTTCATAATACAGAGACAGGTATAATTTTATTCTGAACTGTTTGGTCAGCAATAGTGATATTATAATTAATGTAATAGTATTTGTTATCATTAAAAGATCACTAGTCTGTAGTTCTGTATGTATCTACTTTAGTTTAGTAAAAATTAGCACTTATGAGCTAAGTGGTTAACCTTGGCGTTGTAAATAAACTTTTGTGCGTGCAATTTAACCTGTGCATAAACAGTGTAAACACTTGTTAATTAATAATTTGATTCAACTCCTGAGTCACAAAGTTGCACGATACTTATCTGCCTAATGTTGAGAGAAGAGACAAAAACGACCTCAAAACAATGGCACTTGTACAGATATCTATTTAATACGTAGTCTTTAAAATTCGTCCATAATAGCAATTATTTTTGACTTCGTTTCTACATCGTATTCAGTTAGTATTAAATTTATACTTTCGAAAAACTTTTTTCATTATTAATCACGTCATAATATGTTTTTTTATTAGGTATTAATTCAAATCAATAATGGTCACTAGTACAGTAATGCAGGCTGATGTTGTTTTTGTTATTGAAAGCACTGCTTCCAATGGAGCATATTTGAATGATTTTAAAACAAATTATCTCATACCTACCTTGGAGTAAGTATACGATGCTCAATATACATTTTGCTTGTGTTCAGATACAATTAAATTTCTATGTTTGTAGATACTTCAGTCAAGGTGGAATCGAAGATCGTGAATATGCATCCGAAGTATATAATTTTATCAGTCACGTAACGCGACATTGATAAAAGCTATAATGCAAATTATAATTTAAACACGTTGGTTTGTTGCAGACGAGTCTGACACTTTATGGCATCGTTGTTTATCATGCATCGGACTGCTTACCATCGCCCTTCACAAACACTTTTGGACCATTTTCCAATCCACACAAAGTGATTTTAACCCTTGAAAAACTCGAGTAAGAACTTGTGAGATGAATTAAAATAAATTGTGGAATTAAAAAATCATACTTTCTATTTTTTTTTTTTTTTTTTTTTTTTTTAACAGAATGGTTGGTGGAAAAGGGGAGTCCCATGCTAACATTGGTGAAGGTCTTGCCACTGCCTTACAATGTTTTGAAGACTTGCAAGTGCGCAGAGAACCAAACGTAGCATCACAGAAACATTGTGTCTTAGTATGTAATTCACCACCATATCAAATTGGTGTTCAAGAATCTTACTTGTTCTCGGGATATTCGGTGGATCAATTGGCAGGCGTTTTCCAAGAGGTAGTATACACAATTTCTTTTAATTTAAAAATCCCCAATGCTCATTAATGCACAAATTCTTGTTTTCAGAGAAGTATAAGTCTGTCGATACTGTCACCTCGCAAAATCTCGGCGCTGTTCAAACTGTTTGAAAAGGCAGGCGGCGATTTGCCCTCCTCTCAGACGAAGAATTACGCCAAAGACCCACGCCACCTCGTCCTCTTGCGCAATTACAATCTAAAGGAGAGCCCGGTGAGCCCGACGACTGCAGCGAGCGCAGCCGCGGCAGCAGCAGCATGCGCGGCCGCCGCAGCAGCCGGAGTGCCGCCGGGCAACGCCCAGATAACCCTAAGCCCCTTGCAAAGTAATGACAGTCCTAATCCCAACCAAACACCCCAAAGTATCGTTGTCAATGCACAATCCGTAACACAACAACAAGCACAACAACAACAACAACAACAACAACAGGGACCACCTACCACCTTCCGCGGACAGACGACACCACAGAACATAAACTCTGTGCATCAACAACAACAACAACAACAAGCCGTCAGTCAGCAACAACAACAACAACAACAACAACAACAACAACAACAACCACCACCCATGAACGCGTCAATGGCCAGCAGACCGCAATTCAATCCGCAAATTTCAGCTCCACCCAACTACCATCCGGGAAATATGGGCGCTCGGTCACCTCATCCAGGGCGCTCTGGCTGGATGAGGCCGCCCTACATGAATCCCGGTGGGCCAGGTGGTGCTGCAGGTGCTGTTGGTGCGCAGCCACAGCCACCTACTAGTACACAAAGTAGCGCTCTAATTGCTCAATTGTCCCAACCCCCGTCCACCATGGGCATCAACGTTCAGCCGTTTGCTCAGCGTATGGAAGGTGATGAGATTTTATATCTTAAATTTAATATTTCAAAACGCAATTTATCACCTTTAAAAAAGAAGTTTTTTTGTTTTGTTTTTGTTTTCCCCGTCATTTTTCACTATTTTTACCGTATCTTGTGTTGTTGCAGTTTGCATATGATGCTAAGTAAGGAGAATATTTATTTTTCAATGCTCACTTTTGATATGAAAAATAATACCTATCGTTGTAAAAAATCATTCTAACATCATGAGAAGTAAAAAAAAAAATACTAAATACAGTTATTCCACATGTTTAGGGGCACCAAATGCTGCCATGGCCTCGAACCCTCAGCAAGCCCAACAGCAACAGCAACAGCAGCAACAGCTTAGCCAACATCAACAGCAACAGCTAAGGCAGTTGAACATGCAGCAACAGTTGCAACAGCAGCAGCAGAACGCTGTCCAGCAGCAAAACGCTCAGCAAGCCTCAATGGGAATGCAGGCCCAGGGCTCCGTGGCCCAACAAAATGCCCAACAGCTTAACGTATCCGGTGTGAACCAATCAATGGTGTCGCAAGTTCCTCAGACCGTCACAGCTTCTCAGGCATCGTCTGTACAAACGGCTTCTGCGTCAGCTCAAATGACACATGCCCAACAAGGAAACAATCCACCTGGGCCAGCGCCCCAGCCTACGATGATGAGTGCGGACCGCACTGTTATTTGGAGGGGCATGCTCGAGTGGGTTGAGAAAAACAAGAACTCAAATGACTCTCAGAAACAAACCTGGCAAGTGCCTTGTCAAATATCGGCTACTCTCAAAGACGGTGAACCAGAGGTGTAAGTATTTAATTCTACAGATGATAAATACAAACCATAAAGTTCGTTTTTAACTGCAATAATGTGATTAATCCAACAGGAAGGCGGAATCGTGGCCTATGAAACTCATCATGCAGTTGATGCCGCGAATATTGATAGGCAACATAGGACAGGCGTATTTGAAAAATTCAAAGTCTGTTGTGTTTTATCCATCTGCATGCGATGCTCTCGAATCATTGATAAAAGTCATGTCCAATGGCTTTGCTGGCTGTGTTCATTTTACCCAAACTGCGGCTTCCAATATCAAAGTTCTTTTGCTCTTGTACACCGCAGAAAAACGAACGTTTTTTGGTTTTATCCCCAACGATCAACAAGCTTTCGTCGATCGACTCAGAAAAGTGATACAGGAGCAGAAGAGCAATGCGAACACAGTTCGCCAAGGTCCTCCAGTGGCATTGAGGCCAACTGCCCCAGGCACGGGTCCGGGTAGTGCAAATGCCAATGTGATGTCCGGAGGCGTTGCTAATCCAGGAATATCGTCCCAGAGCGGAATCACGATGATGTCGCAGACGAACACGATGACCATGGGCGGCGGGCAAATTACACAAAACGTCATACCGAATAATGCTATTCCTCAGCAGCCTATGGCTCCGTCTACGGTACAGCAACAGAATCAGCTCAACATACAGCCGGTGGGCCTTTCACAAGGCGCTGGAGGACCACAGGCACAAATGAACCCTGCAGGAAATAGTATGATGGGACAGCATCAGCAAATAGAAATGGCTAGGCAGCAGAATCTTTTGAAGATACACCAGCTGCAGCAGACGTTGGAAGCTGCTCAACAACAAGAGGCGCAGTACAAGTCTCAGGAGGCGCAGTACAAATCACAAATGGAATCGCAGATCGGCAACGTGAGTAGTTTTTTCGTCTCTTGCATCGCAATGATGCATTTGAATAGGGAAAAAAAATTGATGAAATTATGTTATTTTAGATACAACAAAATCTCGAGCACGCCCAAGCTCAAGAAATGCAGTACAAACAAATCGAAGTGAGTAAATGTCATCTGACAATTTTACGTTACTATAGAAGAAAATTTATAATTTAAAAGAAACAGCAGTGCATGGGAATATTTTTCTGATGAAAAAATTTCATGATATTTTATGTTTTGAAGGCTCAGCAAGCTCAGAGAGGGTTGAACCCTGGATCAGTGATGCAGACACCACAACAAGCGAACGCGCAACGGTTAATGCGACCGGTTGGCATGGGCAACACGCCTGTTGGACTTCGGCATCTTTTGCAACAGGTAAAATTTCGAGATCATCAGATTCAGTAATCATATCGATATGCGTTAGAACGGAAATTTATACGAAAATTTTACCAGCAGCAACCGCAATACCGTCAAGTTCTCGGGATGCAACCACAAATGGTTGGACCTCGCGGTCAAATGGCACCAAGAGCCATGGCACCAAATAATCCGCAGAATCAGCAATTTGAGGAAGTTAATAATTTTGATTTTCTCGGTTAAGTTGATGAATGTGCTTCTTCTCAATAATTTTGTATATACATCTTTAATATAACATTTTTAATAAATTTAAAAAATATTTTATTAAATCTTTTCTTTTTTTCATTTTCCAACATCTATCAAGTTTTTATTTATTTATTTTGATTAAAATAAAAAGATACCAATTGAAGTGATTCATATGTTTTACGACGAGTTACCAGTTTCACTCAAAAGGGTAGAGAAAAAGGAGAGTTTTGAGTGTAAACGACCAGCAATTTGATTAATGCTTACCAAAAATTTCATTAAAAATTTTTTGGAGACTAGCTTGAGTCTTGATTATCTTCAACGAAGGGGGAGGGGGGAGACGAGAGTTGAACTTGACTCGATGCAGTGCGCATGCTCGGGTTATTTTTGACGTTTTGTTTTGACAATACTATATTATTTCAATGACAACAGTCGGCTCCGCGAAAATGCTCCGGGAAGTGAGGCTCTGATAAAGATGAGGGAGCTGTCCGAAGAAGCGTAAATATAGAGGATGCCGAAAAAATCGGCGCGATTGCTTAAAGGTACGTACTTTTCCTTTCATCGAATAATGTAATCGGCATAGTAAATCCTTTGGTTACATTTTTTCACGCCCAAGTTATGTAACGTAAGACTCCGTGTAACCTGAAATTTAAACAAGTTATTTTTTTTTAATTTTGTTATCACAATCGTGATAAGCTTCCTTATCTCTTTATTACTCAGACTTGTCATTTTCCTACTGTAGTAAGCAATTATATCTGGGTGTTATAATAACATGGCCTTTGTTTTGCTCGTTAAAAATCAATTTAACAAATTCCTTTACAGAGTGTTTTGACTTACTATTTATTTTTTTTTAATTTTTACATGAATTTTTTTAGTTTGTATCGACTGTTTGAAATATCTTTACTTCTGATAATTAACCGTTCTTTAAAAATTTAAACACAAATTGGATTAAGACACATTTTAATTCATCCATATTTCTTTTAACCAATACAAATTTTTCAAAACTGTTATGCATTTGCTGGATGTTAATACACATTAATAGTTTGTTTCAAATTTTATTATTATTATATCTTTAAAAATGTAAGTACCATTAGAAATGACAAGAACTAATTACATTTAGTTATGTAGAACTTATATTGATCTTTTTTCAGGCTGGCCCTTCGTGATTTAGATGAAGCTAAAGAAGTAGAAGAATTTACAATGACATCGTTGGGAAAACTTGTTTTTCATGATACCTATTCACGGTACCCCATTCCATTCTCTAGTATCTCTGCACGTAATCCATCAGCATCTTTATCACTGGCCTTTGAAAATCTTTTCTACATGCCATATGACATTATAGAAAATTATGGACCCACTATTCACACACTTGACGTTAGTCACAACAAATTTAGCAGGTTGATGAAATCTCCTTTAAATCGTATGACAGTGAAATTTTACATTTTTTTCATTAAATGTATTATTCTTTCAGAAATTTACATTTTCTGGCGGAATTTGAAAATCTGACCTCATTAAATCTTGACCACAACAACATAGACAGTATCACGGTCTTCCCTTACATGCCACAATTACAACTGCTATGGTTGAACAATAACAACATTGAAGAGTTGTTTCCGTTTTTAAAGAGTTTACATAAAAGTTTACCAAACTTGCGATATCTGTCCTTGATGGGAAATAAAGCTGCTCCGAGTTACTTGAATGGTGGAACATTTTATGATTATCTGCAGTACAGGTATTAGTCTTTTTTCAATTCAACTTTTTTTTATCAATATATAAATACTCATTTTTTTTTTTTTTTTTTTTATACATCTAGGCTGTTCGTCATTTCATGGTTTCCTAAACTAGTGCATCTCGACGATCGCGTTATCACTCATGAGCAACATTCAGAGGCCAAGAGATTATTCAAGAGGCCATTCCTTGAAGGATTTTTTGAGAAGGCACCAATTCCGAGTTGTATGAGATACTTACACGAAAAGATGTCGACTTTTGTCAACCCGATCTCTCTGCCAGAGAAGTTAAAATCTAGAAAATCAAATCTAATTGTCTAAGTCAGTATTATGTAAGTGACCATTGTACGTATACATTTATAATCGACTTATTTTAACGTTTTTTATAATGTTTTATGATGAGAGATTAATTTTTAAACGAACCATTCAATACTTGAAATGATCATAAATAATTTTACAAAGCTGAATCGCTTACTTGGGATCACTAGTAATTGAATTTTCTGTGATGATTCCGCGCAATCGTGAAATAGTTCAAAAACTTGTTTAAATATTGCTTTACAACTTCAATTTAAATTTAGGGCTTTCTAACAATCGAATAATCCTGCCGATTTACAAGTTGTAAGCGCACACTAACAGAGGAGCTTTCGAATGAGTATACTATTTTGCATACTTGAGCATTGAAAATGATGGTGCCCTTGTCAATGTAATGAGCATAAGTAAGCGTCGATAAGTTTAGAGATACAATTTTTTTAAACATTTATATAAAATAAAAGCGTTTTGAAACGTCCTTTTTACAACTAATTACAATAATGTTACATGTTAAAAGTGCCTTGCACCTAATTTTATAAAACATATATCGAGAGAAAATCAATTTTGTGTTTGAAGTAATTTTTTTATAAAAATTAAAATGTATTAATCCGATGCAAGTAACAAAAGCTTTAATAAAAGTGATAATTCATAAAAATAATTAAGCTTGTTTAATTATCCCTTGAAAAAAAACTATACATACATTAACTTCCTTGGTTCAATACTGAAAAATTGAACTTATTAAAGTTTCTGAAATTTACATTTTTAACAGCGTTTAATATATATTATAAGAAGAATCCTTAATAAAACTACCATTCCAAGGGTAATACACAGTTTCCTCCTTCAAGTGTCGATTAACAATTTTGATTATATTTTAATAACTAATAACCATCACCTCGGTATGATGATCCACTAACTTTCATAAAAAACAACTATTTTTGAGACTGTGTACCCATGAAGAAAAAACTTGAAAATTAAAATAGATCTTCATATTTTAATACTAAAAACTGATTTCGGAATTTTTGAGTAGCGATTAAAATATTTGCAAGATCTTTTCAAATTACTGATCGAAAAAAAAGACGATTTTGACGAAAACTCACATTTTTCACATTTTCCAAACATATACACAATTGTATTTTTAAAAATATTTTTCTATGATTGTAAGGCCAACTTCAGCGTCCAGAGTTGAAAAGCGTATAGCGGAAGTCGTAGCGCTCAAGGTGTACAAAGAGATATGGCGCCAACGGGTAGAGGAAACGACACGCGTCGTGATTATTTTTTTATCTCCAACTCGCCGTGACACTCGAAAACTATATTTTGTTTGTTTGAATAATTCAAGTGAAAAAGTCGACCGGTGCTTACTGGTTGTTAGTCACCGGACTTAATCATACACGAAGGCACATGAAAGTGCATGTTATTTATAGAAACTACTCGAACGTTTTCCAAAAACGAAAACCACACGAGTACGTTTGAATAAAACGTTATATATCATCGAAGGTCCGTCTAATCTATGTTATCTTAAACATTGATTGGAAAAAAAAAAAAAAAAAATGTGAATAATCGATCGACGGTCATCGAAGCACGACGTGCCAAACGAGCTCACATTCATCGAGTATAGCAAATAATGATGATTGGCGCAGTTACGCGATAGCCTCCGTATCTTTTGCTCATTAAATTCGCGCATACCTCGTATTACGCACCAGTGCTCTAGGTATGCACGCATTACGAAACAAAAGTGCGTTGCAGAGGGAACAAGAGAGCGGGCAATGAGGTGCTTTCGACTTTTCAAACGTATATATGCTTCTTTTTTTCTTCACACGTTTGATGCGAGTTCCGCCGTTGTGGATATACCTATGCATCTTCGCTGATTTTTATTTCTCCTGCTTTTTATCAAGCTCACCACAACCATGCCACGTCTACCTATAATGTGCTTGACCGTGAATGTCGATGCTTCATAAACGAAATAATTGATTTAAAAAAAAAGTGGCTATCGGAGAGGGGAGGGAAATGAAACGTTTTCAAACTGCATAGTGCTTTTGAAAATCACTTTAATATAACGGATTTCCAAAAAAAAAAACAAAAAAAATCAATGTGCGTTTCGTAGTTGTTTCAATGAGCGAAGCCATAATATACTGTACACTGCATAGATGACTGAAGCATACCCAAGAGAGTACGAAGTGACTTTTCATTAATCCCTGAAAATCCCGATGGAACATCATTCTTGGATTAGATTGTCGCATTCTGGTACTCGAACTTGTTTGATTTTGTAGGACTCGTAGTCTTGGGGCTCCACCGAGTCCTTCGGCGCTTCGGCGAACAGAACTTGGTAGGCCAGTGTGCCGATGGCAGCTCCCAACATGGGCCCTACCCAGTAAATCTGAACCAACCAAATGTTTGAGATGAAGGGGGGAAAAAACAAATGCTTTAGCTAAAGCGCACATAGAATTGGATTTCAGTTGATTTCGCGTTACTCTAAAATAATATTAATACATCATCGCAGTTGACACTTACAAGCTAATTATACATTATGTTAATAAGCAGTGACATTCTCGTAAACAGACTATTCGAGTGATGAACAAAACATTGCCGATTATCGTGTACTTATCCTTCGACACGCGAATCATTATGTTTTTTTCATGGCTTCTGTATCATTTTGAGAAGCTACAATAAAATTCAATGAATCTCTTACCCACTGATTTTCCCAAGCTCCGTTCCAAAGCGCAGGACCAAACGTCCTCGCCGGGTTCATGCTGCAGCCTGTGTACGGGCTCTGAAATATATTTTCAAACGACAATACGCACTACTTACTCCCAAAAGTTGTGGTGTTCCTTTATTGAAAGAAAAAAAAAAAAACCTCAACTAAACTGTGCTTGGCAGCTGCACCCCAATTTTCACCACGTTACCATTTTTATCGAACCAATCAGTAAAAATTAAGAATAAAAAATCGAGGTTTTGCTAAATAAATTTTAAAAAAAACTGCGTTTCAAACAGTTACAAAAGTTTCTAGACAACGTCATTTTGTACTCAGGAACGACATATACCAGCCTTTTTTGTTCCCCGGAACATTTACGAACAATGAATTAAAAAATACAAAAAAGGCCAACATTTTCAACAACGACAGCACAGTCGGACGGATGCGTTGAAAAAAGAAAGAAAATCTCGAACGGTCGATCGAGTGGCAAAAGGCTTACCGCGGCGAAGGAAATGGCAGCGACGGCCATGCCGAATCTGAGGGCCGTTGAGTCGGTGGTGTGCGCGCACCTCGGGTCCCACGTGGCACAGGCGCCGAGGAGGATGAGAGACGTGCAGAGGACTTCGATCAGGATCGCCTGGGCTATCGATATCCCCGGGTGGACGACAGTCACGCAAAGCGGCGCCGTCGAGTCCGGGTTACCGTCGTTCATCAGGTGCACCGGGGTCACTATCTGCGACACGAGTCACGTTTTTAAACAACCATCTGGACTCGCTAAAATGGAATGCAGATTTTTTTTCCCCCAATTTTTGGATGCACCCTTTTTTTCGATGAAATTCATGGAGCGAGATGATAAAACGGCACCGATGGCGCTTCTGCTTTGCAATGCGTGACAAAGTTCCCTAGCCTAAACCACTAGCTGTTGTCCTCATGAATTTCTCATAAATTATACTGTCCCACGCCAGTTGGTGGAAATACATGGCCGCGTTGTTTTTTGTCGAAGCGTACCTTTATCATACCGTATCCAACGATGGCACCGATAAATTGGGCAATGGCATAAAAAATCCCCGTCGGGATGGACTTGAGGCCAATCATGACCGCGCCAAGAGTCACGGCTGGATTGAGGTGAGCTCCGCTTACGTGGCCAAAAGTCTAAAAAAAAAAAAAAAAAAACACCTATACACGCAATAACATAGATAATGGTACATTGGCATCGGTATTTAACGCTTGCGAACATATCGGACCAATAATTAATGAATGTATATATATGCACATACCATGATCAAGAGATTGACGGTCAAGCCAAAAGTGAACGCAGCTTGCATGGGAGGCGGGGGTGCAGTCCCAAGCGAACCTACGCAACCCATGCAGCCTATGAATATCAGAATGGCCGTCCCGACCACCTCGGCGACGAACATCGTCAACGTCCCCTCTTGAACCTTCCATGGATCGACTGTTTGTATTCCAACCCAAACGATGTCCATATTATATATACGTACCTTTTTCCCATTCGAGTCGTAGATGTAATTGAAAACTATACTTACCACTTTGATTCGAGCTCATTGATGGGGCTGTTGATTCAGCGACGATTGGCTCGACAGCAATAAACGACCCGTCCGATCAAGAGGCCCGATATCAACGGAAAGGAAACTTTATCATAGATAATCGCTCGATGGGCCTCGAACTTAATGCCAATTGACGAGTAAACGTCACGCGCTCACGTATCCTTATCTCGGCGCTACCGCATTCGACACACTTTTTACACACTCATTAATAGGGTATACACACAAGACAAGGAGGAGCGCTATTGATTATCCGTTTATCATTTCCAATGCTCCGTATATATGCATGCACTCATCGACCACGTCAGCCGCAACGCAGGTGGAAATCAAAGCGCGATCCAACTATCATTTGCATTTTTGTCCCCCGATTTTGCCACTGATATCGAAGCGCGATATATATATAGGGTGTGCCTATATCGAGCAATCTGCTGCGCTTCCATTTTTCCTCCTCCTCGAGCTATTACATGTAACCTCAAGCTGCTGGCGACTAGGGGTAAGTGTACCAATCTCCGTGGCACACACTGAAAATTCCAACTTAAATGCACCATAAAAAATGGTAAACCAAAATTTTTTGGAATATTTTTTTTTTTAATCTTACATAATCTCTTACGGAATATTTAAAAAAATTTTATGAAGCTAAAACTGCAGTAGAATATTTTTAAAACGAATAAAAACGGTATGCTGGTATTACCGTGGTTGTGTACCTATTACCGTGCACGTATTACCGCGGATAAGTATAGGGTTATGTTTACGTACGCTCACCGCGGAAATACGTACACAATCAGTTAATGAGCGCTTTGTACCAAATACCGTGGAAAATAATTATTTACTCAAAATATACACAAATATTTCTGTTTGAATTGCATCTACATTAACGTCATTTTAGATTATTAAAATTGAAAAATTATTTTATATGAAACATTTCTTATTTTGAGCAAGTAATCATCAGTTTTTCAAAATCCACGGTAATAGGGCAGAGCACGGAGATAGGTACACTTACCCCTACTGTACCGAGTACAACAATTCGCCGAGCCAGCGTTGAAAGGACCTTTTTGAAACAAAAATCACAATGTCCCGTGTAGTGAAAGCTTGAACGTGCCACGTATCCCTAAAAATACATGTATACGAGCAAGTAAATCGGTATACGTGTGCTATATAGTATATCAGCTAAAGGCGAGCTCGATCGTGAGCGCAGTCAACGTTGGAGCGCCTCCCGTTTATTATTCAGGAAAAGAATGAAACTTTACAAGTACCCCCCTTATCGTAATAACAGGTTGGTGTCGCCCCTCTTGGCCGGGGGTGGGTATAGGGTCCGACCGGGCGCTCGAATCGACTACTCGCGCGCTACCCGTCCGACTCGACGCACAAGGGGAGAGCTCAGCCATGGCGAATCGGCAAGGAGAGGAGGAGCCGAGCGGCAACGGGTACGTAAACTCCAAGTACCGCGAGGACACCGAGTACGTGGTGCGCATCGCCAAGGCCCTGCTGCTACCGATCGGCATATGGCCGCGCTACGGCGACCTCAGCTTCCGCAGCGATCTCCAGATCTACGCGCGCGTCTGCCTGATATTCTGCCTGATGCTGTTCCTCCTGGTGCCCCACTTCACCTGGACCTGGTTCAAGGCCGACAACTTGCGCAAACTGATGAAGATCATAGCCGCGCAGGTGTTCAGCTCGCTGGCGGTCCTCAAGTTTTGGGTCCTCGTGAAGAACAAGCGCCAGATACGCTACTGCCTCGAGGTCATGGAGCTGGACTACCGGGGCGCCGAGTCGGAGAAGGAGCGCCAACTGATGCTCAAGAGCGCGAGGATCGGCCGGTTCTTCACCACGGCTTACCTCGGCCTGTCCTACGGCGGGGCTCTGCCCTACCACGTGGTCATGCCCCTGATCGCCGAGCGGGTGCCCAAGACCGGGACCAACGACACCATGATACCCCTGCCCTACCCCAGCGAGTACTTGTTCTTCGTCGTCGAGGAACCGCCCCTCTACCAGATCATCTGGCTCGTGCAGATATTCATCAGCGCCCTCATCCTGTCCACCAACACCGGCGTCTACAGCCTCATCGCTTGCGTGGTCATGCACTCGTGTTGCCTGTTCGAGGTCACCGGCAGCAGGATATCCTCTCTGATGAACCCGGCCTCCTCGCAGGCGCCTCCTCTCCGCCAGAGGCTCGCCCAAGCCGTCAACTTTCACGTCAAGGCCATCAAGTGAGACTCCCCCCCCCTATATATATATATATAAATGTACTCGCGCTAATACCTGTACAATGTGTATATATATATATCTGTTACATATAGGTACGCGGAAACTATGGAGAACGCCCTGAACATCGTGATGCTCGCCGAGATGGGTGGCTGCACTTTGATCATCTGCTTGCTGGAGTACGGTATTTTACTGGTGGGTCCACTCGGTTGTTCGTTTTTCTACTCGAGAGAGCTGGATTGATTCATACGTGGTGTTTTTTCGAAACAGGACATGGAGGACGGCGATTACTTCGGCATGGCCACCTACGGGGTCCTCATGACCTCTATATTCGTCAACGTGTTCATCATCTCGTTCATCGGCGACAAGGTCAAGGAACAGGTGTGCGGCATATTATACTGGGTGTAAAATATATAAATATATACATGAGAGCGTAACGTTATTGTTGGTGGTGTTTGTTTTTTTTTTTTTTTTGTTTTATAGAGCGAGCAAATCAGTTTGGCCACTTACTGCATACCGTGGTACGAGTTGCCAAAGGACGTCGTGCTCAACGACATCAAGTTCATGATTGCTCGAGCCAACCAGCCGACCAGACTCACGGCCGGCAAGCTCTTTGACTTGTCCCTACAAGGATTTTGCGACGTAAGATTCTAACGCGATTGCACATGGTTATACATATATATATATATACGTAAATAAACGTAAAAATGTACAATTTTTCGTTGCAGGTTGCAAAGACATCGATGGCTTACTTGAATTTCCTTCGCACCCTCGAGATCACCTAATTCCCCGAGCCTTACTTTCGTGCACAAAAATAACGTTGTTTGTAGTTGTTGGTGGCTCTGCTGCTCGTTGAATCGATACCTCGTGTCTATTTGTAACTTTTTCAATTACACTTTACATGCAATGTATCTTATTATTTTGTGACTCACATTGTTTATTCATTCGCCCGCAGAAGGCAAAAGTTTGTTTGCTCTTCGGGCTGCTGGTCGAATATAATAAATCTTCAACCGAAAAGGGGTGTACGTTCGACATGTGTTTCCTTCAAAGTTTGTTTTGCAATGTGCAATTGTCCACCAACCTGCACTTTTTGTCATTTACTTTTCTGTATTAAGAAAATACGGGGTGTCGGGCGAACGACGTGGGTCGCCTTACATAACATACGCGAGTGTGTGCAATTGACAAAACTACTTTTAGTGACAAGCAGAAAAAATTTGCCCATCGATATTGTTCTGTTTTAATGAACATCGATTGGACTATATTAGGATTGTCTTTTTTTTTTACTTTTCGAATGTGTCGTTGACATTAGTGACTTCCTTGTTCACACGTAAACATACACTTCCAAAATAATAATAATACCCCTTAAAATAATAAAGTGATGGAAAATACGTGAAACCGAAATAAATGAGTAATTGAGACTAGTATGAGGTGTGGCTAATCGGTTTGATCTCTATACGTTTACGTTTCATTAAAGTTGAAATCCATCGTCGATACTTGTTTTCCAAGTTGAAACAATACAGGCGTATGAACCCTAATGGTAGGTATACATGCAAGCCATTGAACCTTATATGTTTCGGTATATCTATCGACCATACTTTTGATTAAAACTAATTAACACTCAAATAGATTTACCTTTTTTTTTAACTTATCGCGAACTGCCAACACACTGTTTGTTATGGTTTTTTTTTTTTTTTTTTTTTTTTTTTCTCATAAAGGTCAGTAAAAACGAAAATGCCGCTGATACGAACAAACATTAAACTGAAAAAAATGATTATTCGAGGTTATGAAATTTTTTTTTTTTTTACAAAGTTTTATTTTTTTTATTGACTGAGAGTAAAGAACAATTCGGGCGCTCAGTGATGCATTTAACCGAAAGGTTAATGAAATTAGTAAAAAAAAAAAAAAATAATAATAATAATAAACAATTAAAATGAAACTTATCTTACATGATGAAAAAAATTTCTCAACCTCGAAATGTTAATAATTATCAGTCTTGCTAATTGAGCTTAATTTCTGAATGGACAAAACGCCAGTGTCTACATAACATTGTACATAAAGACGTAGAAATAATTTTTATCACCACACCACTACACTATGAATTATTCAATTTCCAGATGCTGAGATCAACTTCCAAGAGCACCGTTTCCCTGTAACGAGTCTTGTTGCACATTTCAACGACATGTATACGCATTAAACTCCTTACGGATAATCATATTCAACTTGTCGGTGCGTAAACGGCTACTTACCCCGGGACTCTATCAAAAGTTGTCGCTGCTCGGAGATAGGAAACACCGTACACCTATACTTACAAGCGGAAAGATCGATCGATCCATCCAAGAATTTGACATAAAAAAAAAAAAGGAAATCGAATTTCAAGTCGAAACTGTTTCCGTTTGCGCGAACAAGCTCTTTTTTTCAATTGCCCCACGTGAAAGTACACGCCGGTGTGCGAGCTCGAGGCTGTAAGTTACGCGCTGGAATAATATTTAGCTCGTTGCGCGTTGAAGAAAAAAAAAAAAAAAAAAAAAAACTGCGAGATGGACGATCTTGTTACGCGGAACGTTTCTATTATGCCGAACACTGCCCAACACTCGTTTGCGACTTCCCGTGTCGGTTAATCCATGGCAAAGAAATTACACTGCATGAGAAGGAAAAATTAAATTAAATTAAAAAAAAAAAAAAAAAAAAAAAAAAAAAAACTTGGTTGACCGTATTATAGTTCCGGGTGAGCAATCATCTGTTGGCTTATCAGGAAAACCATGCAGATCCGATTACAGCGTCTATGTGAGATCGATCCGCCTTGGGTATGGGCGAGCACGATTTCGGGATATGCCACCCTCGAACGCGACCGATGGTGAATAAGAATGCAGGCAATGTACGAGCTCAAATTCATCGGGAGAAAGGAAATAATAGTCCATGGGAGCTGGGATCTACAGGTATATGACGCGTTACAAGAGGTTTAGTGAAAGTCTGTGGTTTTTTGTTTTGTTTTCGTCGATGTTTTTCGAGTGCCAGGGAAAAAATGTGTAAAAAAAAAAAAAAAAAAAAGGAGCAAGAAAAATAATGCCTCTCGTTAGAAAAGAACGCAGCCACGCAACGCGTGCATTATGGGGAGCGGAGTCCCGATCGGTATAACGATGACATTTATCCGCGTCCGAATGTATCGTCGCGCACATTAGCATAAAACCTGATCGATCGCTTGGCGCGCAAACTCAACAATTTGGCTACATTGCACAAGTATATATTATGTACATGGCTGGGCGAACAACATCAGATTATACCTGCAATGATCACAATGGAGCGCCTACCAGTAGGTATATAACGCACATTACAATTGCTAATAGCTTTGTATGCTACAATAGAAGATGGAACGGGTCCCTCTTCTCCTGCACGTGAGTTAGAAACAAGAATTTGCTCTTAAGTTTCAAGAAATTGAAATTCGCTAGTAGCCCACATGGGTTTTATGGTAAATCATGCAGATGTCGAGCAAACGCCGAACCCACTGGGATCAAAACTCAGTTTGCTCGTTAGACCAGAGGTTTTTTTTACTTTTACCTACTTACGAATATATACATGTATCATCTATATTATTTATTTTTCCTTTTCTAGCAGTGGGTCATTGTTATGCACCGGCAAAAATCGAACTGCTCTCCGATCTTAGGATGGATTTGTGGCAACACTGACCTCAGAACTGACACATTTTAATCGCAGTAATCTAAAATTGCAATGTAATGGTTTTCACAGCTCATATTCCTCCAGATTCTCAACGATAACAACTAGAGGTATGTACCTACTTACATTAACCAATACTACATTTTTTTTTTTTTTATCTACAAGTACAGTTTACCGCAATGCACGATTATATTATTATTATACCATCGAAGAACTATTACCGCAAAACATCATAGGAGGGTTTATGGGTGCAACAAAAAAAAATTGCATAATAAACCGGTAACGGAAACGTAGGTTGTTTAAAAAAACTAGATAAAAAAGCTGGACGCTCACTTGTGACACTGCATTGTCGACGTGTGTTTTGTAGATTTTATATTTTTACACCCAACTCGAGGGCAACTTGAGCCTTCATCATTTCATTCGATTTTCGTTCGTACTGCACGTCTATAGATCTTACCGATCGCTCGGATTGTACACGACCGACGCACCTGCTTACCGATTTTTTTCACAGCTTGGGGAGTCATAGTTATCCGCAGGTTTCTCGTTTGCGGCAATCACTACCTTGTAATTATGGGCACCGGCATCCGAGAAAACAGTAAACATAGCGATCGGCTAGTACATGCGCGTGTGTTTGCGCCAGAGTCCGACAGGTGCGTGGAAATTTCGTAACGGTTACCTAAGCAATCGAGCAGTAAAACTTTGTCAAAAAGAGAGAAAAAAAAAAAAAAGAATTTGCAGGGAAAACCGTACTGGGGAGTAATCAGTGCGACTGGAATTTACAACGGAATGCTAGTGGTTCGTCAGCCTTTTTGAAATGCTGGTTTTTTAATTATTGTCTCGGCATATGCATCCAAAGAGGGTTAATTACAGTACTTATTCGTCGGTTCCTTCATTGGGGTCGAGTCAAGCATGAGTCGAACTCGAGGAAGTAAGCGAAAATTCATGTATTTTTCTTAAATTCTTATTTATTTGTTATGGTTTAAAAAACATAAGTGTATCCACATAGGTACACGCGTGTGCGTACATATTGTATACAACACTAATTTACAGAGTTACGGTAACAAGCTATAATCAACGATGCACACTTTATGTATAATCAATTGCCTATCGAATATAATTATGTTACAACAACGTCAGTGAAAACTAACACGACAATTTTTAAATTTTTACGGTGATGGATAAACAGTAACTCAGAAGCCAAACGAAAGTCACGGCTTAACAGCTCAATTTGTGGAGTTTCAACTCGACTGACTTGGTCAGCTTTTAAAAATGTATGTATATTTATACTAAGTATAAAAAAAATATATATATGTATATATCTACACGCACAACATAATATGAGCTTAATTTCTGAATGGACAAAACGCCAGTGTCTACATAACATTGTACATAAAGACGTAGAAATAATTTTTATCACCACACCACTACACTATGAATTATTCAATTTCCAGATGCTGAGATCAACTTCCAAGAGCACCGTTTCCCTGTAACGAGTCTTNGGCCCTGCGTATATATGTATATATCTACACGCACAACATAATATTTAATGTAGAGCGATTAGAGAGGCAGTGTTTATTTATGAGTATAGGTAAACTTATTACACATGACGTTCCTAAACGAGTAGAGAGAGAAAAAAAAGAAGAAAAAAAAAAAAAGAAAACTCGTACCTAACGGGGGCAATACTTATGTAAAAATAACGATAGATCCTCAATTTATACAATAATTACACTTTGATCGTGAAATGCTGGCGATCCGTGCGAGTCCGGATTCACAAGTAGTCGCTGGCTACGGAGTGGTAGGGCGTCCGTATGTCCTTCCACAGCGACAAGTCCACGGCGGGAATGTCGTCGCACGAGACCACCAGGTTACTGCAAAGAAAAAAAGAAAAAAAAAAAAACACCAAAGCAATGCTTGGTTGGTGACGTATTCGATCATATATTATGTATAGTTTGCTCACGACTGGGAAACTCGTTCGAAGGCCCGGGGCTGCATCAACCGGATGTTGTCCCCGTTGTCGCACAGCAACCTCGCCATGCTGGCCTTGCGAATCTCAGTCAATTGCTCTGCGAAGCACAAAGTGACGCTTAGCGACAACCACCTCCCACGGCATACCGATACACTTACCGATCGTGAAGGCGAGCTCGGGGTTCCCGGTCTCGAACCAGTACCGATCACCCACTCGCGTCCTAAAGAACTGCTCGCTGAGAATGTGGAGGAAGGTCGGCCCGGCCAGTGTCCCCTGCACGTGTCTCTCGAGCGAACCCCCGACAGTCAGGTCCACGTCGTCCGGCGTCTCGTACAGCAGCGACAGCATCTGGATGTTCTGTCGCACGGCGGACCAATGAGAAAAAACGTAAATATATCGGGAAACAAAGACGAGAAACGTGTATAATATATACCTCGGGAGATATGAGATCCCCAAAGTCGGCCCACTGGACGGCTCGGGGCAGGCCGAGCAGCGCCCGGTAGTCGTTGTAGGTGGCCAGGCCGTGGTCACGGTTCCTCTGGATGTCTATGGCACGGAGATCGTCGCCCAGCCTGTGCCGGTTCCTAAAGAGGTGGTTCGTTATCTGAAACCCGAGAGAGACGATCGAGCGTGCACACATCCACGGACAACAAATGACGATGAAGTATTCGGCTCACCTCGCTGTCAAAGTACTGGTCGCTGTTCTCCTGCGGCTGGAAGGCCATGCCCCTCGTAAGCTTGTCCAAGAAATTGTCCTGCTCGATGACCCCCGGCCGGTTGAAGTGGTCGCTCAGACGCAGCGCGTTGTACCTGAACGCGAACCTCGGCTCGTCCACCATACTTGGTGACCAAATCATGGAGCAATCGTACAAAATTTTGTTTGACCATGTCAACAGATTGAAAGACAAATGGTTGCGGCAACTCACAGTAATTTGCCGGCGATGAGGGAGTGGAAGTAGCGGAAGGCGGCGGTCGAGTGCTCGTTTATGACGCTCGGGTCCACGGCTGGATCGTAGTCGTTGACGTAGCCCGCGGTCTTGTACAGGATCTTACGGTTGTACGAGTTTTGCAAACCTGTCGAAACGACGACGGCGTTCATTTACCATCATTATTTTGCTTCTTACAAGCGCGTGCAATTATATATCTACCAATGAAAATGGGGAGCCACTCGTAGTACGAGATGTGCTGGTACGCGGCGGTGTTGATGCGCCTGGCCTCCTGGAATATCGTCTCGTCGGCCCAGTGGGGGTTCAAAACTGCCAGGTGTCGGGCGATGCGGTTGTGCTCCCTGTGCAGGATCAGGTGTAAAATCGTCAACTGCGGGTTCTGGTTGACGCGCACGTCGCCTGTGAATTTTATCAGCGCGCGATTGACACAAACCGAAAGGGGAAGAAAAAAAAAAAAAAAAGAAAAAAAAAGAAAAAAACAACCCCTATACCTGCCCTGTAGCAAACGTCGAGATCGGAGTTGGTGTCGCAGGCGGCGCTCTTGTTGTTGGCCTGGGGCAGCCACTCGCGCTGGTCGCGCACCTCCGTTATGAGCTGGCCGCCGATGCCGGTCCTCAAGCCCGCGGCCACCCTGTCGCTCGAGCCGTAGGTAAGCGACAGGTCCAGGTAGTGCGACACCACCGTCAGCTGCAATAAACCGCTGGTCAGAGCGCTTCCTTCGCATGACCGAGATTACATTGTTTGTTTTAGCCCACGTATACCCACGTCACACCTATACGTGGTCATTTACATGAATTATTCATGTTTGCGCTCTGAATTGACTTGTGTTGTTTGCATCGAACAAATTAATTACCAAGTCATACCGTTTTCAGCAAAAATATAATCACGATATCGGTCACGCTGTGCTTTATCGTGGACTCACCCTGCGGCTGTAGAAAACATTCTGACAAAATTGCGCTTCAGCGTGGGAACGAATGCGTGGCTCAAAAAACTTATTGCGGTAGCATTAATTGTGCGTATAATATCAACCTATCGCCACTTGCTTGGCTTGCTATCTTCAATCGTCAATTGAGGTGCAACTCGTGTTTTCATGCGCTCCCAAAGCACCTCTTGGATCGATTATGTCAGCGGGGGGTATGAACATAAATTTCAATGAAAATTCCAATTCTAGGTGAAATGAAAGGCAACCGTAAAAACAAGTAATCGTAACGATATAAACGTAATGTGCAACGTACGTACGTATATAGGTATACGATAAAACGCGACGGGAGGCAAAAGCAAAAATATTCGCTAAGGTTTCACTTTCGCGCGGATGTATAGGCGTGTGCGGCCTCGTTGCATGTAAATCGCGATCACGTAACTTTGTGTGTGCGTGTGTGTGTGTGTAAACATACAGGTATGTGTAACGGAGGAGAGAAAAAGTTCGCTCGGAAGAAAAGTGACGAATCCGGTCGGCAAAGAGTAGATTAGCGGTAAAGGCGCACCCAAATAAGAATGGGCCTGGAATATATTATGCCGAGCGAGCGCGTGCCCTGCACTTCCGTGGAATCGGCGAAATCGTTGGTCGGCACTGGTGTGACAATGGTATAGATAATCGTGATATTAACTAAGTTGATGATGTATAAGAGAGAGCAAACCTGTTCGGCGGGCTTGTACCCGGATGAGCAGCCGCGGTCAAAGTCGGTGGTGCTGCGCACAAAGTTACGGCACTCCTGGCGCTCGTAAGAGTAGACCGGGTCGTTGGGCGGTATGATGATGGGGAAGCACAGCGGGCTCTCCAGGGCCTCGGCAATCAACTGGCCCTGCTCCGTGCAACACTGGGTCGCGTGCGCCTCTGTGCAAGGGACACGTCTTCATTTTTTATTTATTCATTCGTTGAGCCATTCAATGGCCCATGCACCGTAAACAAGTGAAATTTGGCAGAGAGAGAGGAAAGAAAATTGTCACTCCTGTATAGATGTATGTATACATGTAATGAGCGCGCGGTGGCTCGGTCGGCTAGGTCGTGGATTGGCACGCGGGAGACCGTGGTTCAATTCCCGGCCATAGTACGACTTTTTCGGGCAAGTATCTCTGTGATTTTTCACATGTGCTTTTTCACCACGCAATGCTCCTCGAGGAGGGTTTAGGCGACCTCCTCGCAGCATAATTGCCTAATTTTCCCCTACCCCCCTCCCAGTAATGTGAGGCCTCCCATCCCTTTCCTTGTCCCTTTCCCAAAGTGCGCTAAGTGCCCATAGTAGTGCTCTTATTAAAAAGGAGCCGGACGTAGAGCACTATAATATATAAAAAAAAAAAAATGTATACATGTAAACTGGTTATACCTTTTCGTTGAAGTTAAAAAGTTTCGGTGTATAACAACAAACAAATAGTAAAAGGAGCAATTTGTGTAGCTGTGCTGTATTGTGTCGAAAAAATATTACTTGCGATTTCTTCCCGGTCACTTTGTGATATTTGATGTAGTTTTAATGAAAGGGTCATAACGAGGGGAAATCCTCGCCAAATTAATTATACATGTACACACATGTACATGCACCGCGATGTCGAAACGTTGAAAAAACAAACGCGCGAGTGGAACAAAATTTTCACTTGCCATCCAGAGAGAGAGAGAGACGGATCGTATAGAATCGATTGCTCGTTAAGATACTAATTAAAGGGTCACGTTTTAATACGGTTGTTTATTGGCGATAATCGTCAATTTCGCGATACCCCCGAGTCTTTTTTTTTTTTTTTTTTTTTTTTTTTTTTTTTTTTTTTTTTTTTTTTTTTTTTTTTTTTTTTTTTTCAACTTGTAGGTATATTTTCAATTGGCCACCTCGTATACAGGTATGTACAAAGAAACCTATCCATTTTTGCGTCACATAACTCGCGCAATTACGCGCGAGCCCGTAAATTCCTAATAAGCTTTTCCATAACGAATAGTTGACATGGTTTTTCCCTTTTTGAACCAACCTATCGATCCGCGAGTTTCGTCAGCGAAAAGGTGTGATTTCAAAGGAAAAAAAAAAAACAAACAAACAAAAAAAAACATGAAATTGATTAAAGCTGGTAAACAACAAAAAATGATTGATTTACTCGATTGCGTGGTCCCGTCGATCATGGCCATGTCGTGAGTCATGATCTGGCCCCACTGCATGGCGATGAGGGTCCACCTCGCGTCCTGGACGTCGACATCGGGGAAGAGCGAACGGCTGACCTCTCGAGCCAGCGGCAGGGGATTGCCGCTCTTCGACACCGGTGGCGCGTGGAATCCTGGGGAAACAAAACAATCCACCCATTTCGAGCACACGCATTTTCCAAAATACCATACTTACGTGCGAGTATAATAATATACACTTGATGGGAAACGAATCACTTGGACCGAGGAGAGCGATAAAGTTTTACTCTCCCGGGGTGGGAGGCACTTTGCTTTCTTCGCGATAAAAAAAAAAAGAAAAAAAAAAAAAGAATTCAATTAGGCCTTGCACGCGTGTGCCATTAATTACCCCGTGTTCCTCCCTTCTATGCGATCCAATTGAATCTCGAGCGGCGAAAGATTTCGCGGAACGCACCAGCAGATAACTCCAATAAATACATGTGCGAGCTCCACAACAACAACAACAATAATGACACAGAGTAGCGCGATGTTGCGCGCACGGAACGGTGCAAGAATTTATGTGTATGTAAGTATATATTGTGTTGCGCGGCACGACGCGCGTGACATAATATCTAGAGCAGTGCGCGCGCGCACAATGTAACCGCGGTCCCACGGAGTTATCTGGCAAAGCTTGAGGCCCGAACGCAATGGTCCCCCGGTGTAGAAAAACCAAATTAGTGCCGCGAGACGCAACCCAACGGGAAAACAACGGCAACGGTTGCCGTGCCTATGTATACTTATCAAGAGAGGCGGATCGAATTTTGCAAACGGCACTTCCGAGTGTCGCGTGCATTATAATATATTACATGCACTTGCGTGTATATATGTGTGTACACGCTACCGTGTCTCGATTTTAATTAAGGCTCATTTTAATTTTACACCTGTATGGGTACCTGTTCTCCATTAACTCGTGGTAACGCGCATATCGATCACTTGCGCAACTTTTTCACATTTTGTATGTTTTTTTTTTTTTCCTTTTGTTTTTAATGCGACACGGTGCAATAGCTACATCAGTTGAGTAAGTTTACACGCGTCTTGTGCACGTATCGGTAAATCGCTACATGTATATATGTAAGGTGCACAGTGCCTTTCCATCATTCTGCCACGCCATATAAGAAAGATCGAACGAGAGAGAAAGAGAGACGAAGATTTCAAAATGGTCCGCTCAAATGAAAATTATACAGATTTTAACGCTCCGGGATATTTTCTTTGCATTTTCCAGCCTCGCTTACAATAATGATAATATTCCATTCGATGTTGCAGTTACACGCGCTTATAATGGCCCGTCAAGCATCGGGACCCATGTATACATGTATCGCGAACCGCGCTTCAACTCCGATACACGTTAGTTCGATCCACGCTCTCTTTCCCTTGGCGTGAGATTCGTGCATATATATATCTCAAAAAAGCTAAACTCGTCATACACAAAAACACGAAGATTGAATAATGGTCCCTCTCAAAATTGTCCCGCCGCGCGAGCGCTAATGAATCGGCCCTCGTCACTATACACGCGCAAATTTACGCGAGGTAATTTGCCCGAGAGAATATATACATACATATTCCCGGCCCCGAGCTATTTTACCACGTACAACACGGCGCCCTGTACTCCCCCGCTGTGCTCTCTATATGTACAGTGTCGAAGAGTCTAATCGTCAGCCTTTGCAGGCGCGTATGGCCCAAGATACACGTCTCCCATCACGTAACACCCGTTGGACAGATAGAGAGAGGGGGACTCACCGTCGGCGTAATTGGCGGGCAAGAGCCGGGCGTATTTGGTGTTGGCCATGCCCCAGGTGGGAAATTCTAAGTTGTTGCAGGAGCCGTCGTAGGTGCGGTAGACCGACCTCCGGCAGGCTGGCTGCCGATACTGGCCGGGACAGGTGTAGGCCGGTGGCGTCGACGCCGGTGGCGCAGGAGCCGGCAAACCTCCGATGCTCGGGTGCCCCGGGTAGCTACTGCGAACAACCAAGTATATATATATATATAGAGGCGTACGATACAAAAAAAAGGCCTTATTTATGACTTATGGCTGGGTGTACTAAAATGGCCATCCCAGAGCGACCAGTCGATAGAGTATACCGTGGACTTAATTGCCGCGCGATCGTCGAGGGGATATCGATGGCACATACATATAATAAATAAACTGCACCAAAATGTATTTCAACCAACTAAAATCGACAACTTTAAAACTTTCCTATTTGCGTTTCTCTTAAACCAAGACAAGAGTGAGTGGGATACTGGATACCGGATTTCTGCCTAGATTATAAACTACTAATTCTTATCATTGAATGAAATTGTTTAATTAATTTTTCTCTTTTGTTCTTTCTTTTTAAACACTAATTGTCAACTCAAATGTATCCACATTTTTGATGTACTTACCTATTCAATTGCGTACTAACTTGTATTAACTAATTGTTTATATTTTATTTTAATACATACATTGTAATAATCCCTCGAAGCCATACGTGGTCATACCCCCTGGCTGAAATAAAGACTTATACTATATACACGTATAAATAAGTAAGTGTGGGCCATTTGAAGGAGAGGAAAAAAAGGAAACACGTTCCTCTGCACTCGCGCTTGTTCGTAATTAACTAATCCACTTTTTCTTTTCCCGCTGGTTGGATTTCCATAATGGCCCCCACGGTGTTACTTTATTTTTTAATCATTTGCAAAAAAAAAAATCTCATTGCGATCGATTGGCCATTCGGTGCATGTGTGTAGCCAAATGGGCAATGGTCGTACAATGAAATCCGTCCTCGTACATGCTCTGTTGGCTTGTCCCCGAGTGGTTTCCCCCATTGAAGCCGAGCCAATTCAACCTTTCGCCGCGAAAGGCCGTGCACAATTAGATCCGAGATCGGCGCGGGCTATTTATTATCCAGGAAAACGCAACTTGTCCATACACACCGTTGCTCTGCATGACGCTGTTGGCAAAACTATGGGGCATTAGAAAGCTAAACATTTTATATATATATATAGGTATACGTTAGAGCGCGCGCACGATTATTTATTTTATTTTTTTCCACCTCGCGTCATAAAATACCTTGGAACACGTTCACGCTCGCCAGAGTTATACAATAATTTAGTAACTGCACGCGTTGCACTTGACACTAGTCCTCGAGTGCGCCCACAAAATTGGTACATTTCACGTATACGAACCGAATAATGGCAAAAGGCATCCGACACATGGTGTCGAGAAAAGGACGTATCGGTTGAAGGATCTTTTGGCTGCGCACAATAGCGACACGGCGTCGGCTACATCGGCAGAGCATCTGCATATTAACGAGAGGAGAAAACGTTTCTTTTCACATAGTCTAGTCTCGTAGCTCCCACTGGAATAAAACACGTATCGGAAAAAAAAAAAAAAATCAATCCGAGGGTAGAACACGAGAGAGAGAAATCAGTACGTATGCTATCTCCTGTCGCGTCACGGCTCCTTTCGCATCCACAAAAGAAAAAAAAAAAAAAAAAAAAAAACAGAGGCGTGCCGGTCTTCCGCTCCTACAACTTTGCTGTACAGCGATAACAGAAGAGGTTTCCGATTATTAATACATTTCGATCTCTAGCGCTGATATCCCGGCTTTTATGCACGACTGCGGGGAGTAGTAAAAAAAAGTACATCATGTATACCCCAACAATCACTTTCGTTTCGCGGACTATATGAACAATACAATATACGTACATACAGAAGTGTTCATTATCAGCGAATTACGCGTTTTTGCACTTACGCCGATTGTTACCAGTAATTACAGATTTTATGTAAACTGTGTTACGTGAAAGCCCAGCGTGGTTGGTGTAATGAAAAAAAAAAAAAAGAAAAGATTAATAAGAATAGACGAGAAAACTGTAGAGCCAAAAACATAAGGGTATACAATAATCATGTATATATAGGTACCTACCTCCGGTACATAGGCGAGTAAATGTACGTATAGGCAACGTTTTGATTTACGATTTCTTAGCTCGCGCGCCGTATAGTATCCTTTCTATTCTTCGCAGTCGCAAGCCCATACAGTCCTTTGGGAGGGATTGGAAAAAAAAAATAGAGCGCGCCTGCACCTAGACGTTTTTTCCTTTCAAAAGCTCCGTTACGTGCTTTCGAGGGGTAAAATGTGCTACAAATCACGATGTTGAAACTCATTGTCCCCCTACCCGTAAACGCGTTATTCAAATTAAGATCGGACTTGGGGACGACGGAGAACCGTTTACGAGATGCGTTTGTGTGTTGATTAAAAAAAAAAAAAATTACATCTCGAGTTGAAACGTGAGAGTTCAGATCACCTGTTTGCCATAAAAACTTCATAAATAATCGTACGTAATTATGAGCTGAGCGTTAAATACTTCTATCTTTTTTCTTTTTTTTTTCACTCCCGCATGCAAGTATTTAGAGAAAAAGAGAGCGAGTTTAAAAATATTTTTATCCAAGTTTAACGAACGAAGGATAAGTTATATATGAATGTTTGGTACCTACCGATATCTGATCGGTATAGCGGACGGTTACGTGTATATATATGTACGTGTACGATCGCAGATGATTTTATGGAACGATAAATTATACCTTGCCGGGGAGTAGAGGAGATAAGACTGGTGAGAGTGAGACTGAGGGTACAGCAGCGACATGAATGGATGCCGTGGCACCTCCGCGTAGGCATAGTAGCTGCCCGTCTGCGGACTCGCCTTCTGATCTGAAACATCAAATATATTTTTTATGCATACAGTCATTATTATTACTTCTGGAAATTGCCGGTTGGAAAAGGCACGATGAAAGTTTACTTTTCCACGCAAAGGACCTACTGTACGCGAATCGCGTTATATATACCTCGGATAAAGATATATCTCAATTTGGATGAAATTAATGATTTCGGCAGTGACTGCCGTACACTCTGGACCTCCCCACGGAGAAAGGTACATCATATATATCCACTGAGTCTTTATATACTTTATCTCGATAGAGTGAAGGAGCTTGAAGTTTTTTAGAAACAGGCAATTTTTTTTTTATTCAAACATTTCCCCATTGTAATTTCTCAAGCGTGTCATGAGCGATAAGCTGAAACTTGATATGTTTTACGGATTGATCTTTTTCATGAAACGATTTCCAAATGGAGCGTTCGGCGTGGATGAATTTTTTCTAACGATTTTCCGTATACAAAATTAAAAGTGTCAAGTGGAAAAAAAATGCATAATATACATATTGGCAAACAAATTACAGAAGGAAAAAAAAAAAAAAAAAAAAAACACGGTTGTTAACAAGTAATAAAATATCGCGGCAAAGCAACGTTACCACAGCATATTATGGTACACGTTTCCGAAGGCGTGGAAATCTAGTAAAAGCTACACCTAGCAGTCTCATAAATATTAAAAAATAGCAGATTAAAAATATACAGATCCGACAGATCTGATGGGCTGTATCGTATACTCGTAGTTGTATGCGTGTATAAAATATATCGGCTCGTGTGGTATGGTTTAGCAATTTTCATTATGTTTGACTTGGAAAGGTGTTGTTGATTATTATAACACGCTTGTATATAATACCCATACACACACACATATTGTCTGTAGTTCTACCACCTTTGCCGCGTGTTTGTACATTATTCACTCACGGATACCGCGGTGCATGGTAACTTATGAGAAAATAATACGTTGCGTTCGGTGCCTCCGTTGCCGCGTTTCTAATTGTGGAATTTAATTAGGCTTCGTTTGAGATACGCGTTTGCCGGGCGTCGCGTCGCATATCTCACGGTCAAATTGAACTTTATGTCATTACCTCGGATATTGTACACGCGCTGTTTGTGCACACATGCAGTTATTTAGCTAATATGTTGTATATATATATGCATCGGGTATGTAACTGCGGTGCGTATGCACGATCGAGGATCGATTAACAAAACGGATCAGGAAATATTGCACCGACTGCGCGCTCGTCGGCCGGAAAAAACTTCCGTTTGGTTTCCTTTGCGAAATCATAATCGAGCGATAGTACATATATACTTATAGGTGCACGCACGAACAAACAAAACGGGTTTAGACTTTTCGTAATACATACGCGCCTCTTATCCTGCACGATCTAAGTAGCCACGCGTAATTTTTTCTTGCTTTTGTTTGATACCTGCTGTTAATAATAATAATAATAACAATAATAATGTTATTGAAAATGATTGACGTGTTTTTACTTCGTGTGCCATATTATTATTATTATTAGCTGCGAAAACGTATTATTAGTTAATTGAAAACGGTCAGTTTAGCTATAGCTGTGTATCACGCTGATAAAAAATTACTTGACAAACGCATAATAATCGATCCAACGCGAAAAAAACAGCAGAGTTTCCGACAAAATGCATAACACGGCTGCAGCGAACCGGCACTTGTGTATACATTACTTCGCGCTTCGGGACCCCTTTTGACTTAGCAAAAGGTAAAGATTTCCGCGCGCCTAGAGCGGCTGGGCACCTCAGCGTGTATACATCGACGCGGTCCTTGACTGTTTGACAAATCACATCCGAATGTGGTTTTCGGCGGATCTCATCGTCACCCGCAAGGTGCGAAAGCGTCATAGTATTTTTTTATTTTTTTTTTTTTTAAGCTTGCAGTGCTCGCTAAAGTGATAACGTACAGTAAAATGGCTCTACGGGGCACAGTGGCCCAAGTTGCGAAAATCCGGCTCGGCTGAAAAAATCCATGCGCGACCTCGTATAGGTAACAAAAATCCTATTATCCCCCCCCTCTCTTTCGCGCGCACCCGCCTAATCAGATGTACCTACCTACCTACGTGCAAGTGTAGCCAAGTGTCTCTGTAGTTATACATGTACCCGCGCAAGTGCACGCGCGCCGGCAAAAGATAACATCCGGTTTCGCTCGGCTCTGCCAAGTACTTATGTGTGTATGAATTACCTTCACCAGAGCGTGCAACCATATAGCAGCTCACGCGATAAGTGCGAGCCCGAGACTTTGAGGGGGGGCCTTTCACCGCACCCGCTCTCGTAAATGTATACATGTTTGTACAGCAGATAATAGCCGCCGATCTATAAGCGCTCTGTCTCTGCACAACAGGTATATGCAAGAGACTCGTGGAGGGCGTATTACCTATGCGGAATCATTTCTCGGGTGCATATATATATGCATGGCCGATCGATGCGCACTCCGGTGCCACGATCGGCGAATTTTCGTCGGACCGTGATTGTTTTCCAAGAGCTATTGTTGCGCGTTTCGTACGCTTTGCCTCTCTGTATATATGGCAAACGTTGAAAATTGTACTGTATACGCGCGGCTCCTGATTGTCTCATGGTGCAAGTGTATAGAAAGTACCTGTGATATCAACAAAAGATTTACGACCCGCCGTTCTTTAATCCCGTAGGTTCCACGCGATATATACGTATATATTCTAATGTCGACTTGCCCGGGCGGAAGTGACTCTGACCTGAATAAGTATATGTGTATTTTATCGGCGTTCGAGTTTCCTCCTCAATGGGATCGTCGATATATTAATTAAATCGTTATGCTAATGCGCAAATTTACGCCGATATTTAGCGGCACTTTCTTATCCTCGGGATGCTTATTCGAGGCTTTAACTGCACGAGTACCGGTACATGCGCGGTAAAAGTTCGTAACGCGGGATAAGAAGCGTAATTTATGCAGATCGCTATACGAGAGCACCTCAACCAGGTTGGGGTGAAAAAAAAAAAATCGTCACTCTTTCTTGCAGATAGTTCAGTGGCATATGTATATATATTTTAGTTAAAAGCTGTTTACGCTCGCGTGATGTCTTTTTTTTTTCCCTTCGATTTCCCATGTGTATGTCATTAGGTGCTGTTGAGTAGGTTTTTGTTTTTTTTTTATTGTCGATCGGCAAGTATTTAAATGCATGCAGAAGGCATGCCATTGGTTTCTTGATCAGTGCAAAATTCAACTTCGCGACTACTGCAAACTTTCACAAAATTGCATGAATAATCATCACCGCGATTTTATATCCTACGGTCATTTTCAAAACCGAATCGGAGCAGCGATGAATAAGTACACAATAAAATGTGTGTGTGTATATATATATGCATCTCGAGGCAAAATTTTCACGGCGAATGGTTCAGTGTGCGGTTTTGTAATGGAGGCATGATTGACGAAGAAAAAAATGCCAGCCCCATCAGTGTGTATAACACATATATCCACATATATTCGTGCGGTACTTGAGTGCAATTATCATTTTTATCACCATGACAATTTGCGCTCTGGTGCTTCGAAAGTTATCCACGCGTGTTATACATATATTCACGTGGTGCACGTATATATGTACAATATTACAAGTATACCTCGTACATATACAAGTTCCGTTTGGAATAGAAATAGGCTATATCGCTTTCGCATTGGGCGTGACTCACGTACACAGTAGCGTTAACATTACCAGCAACGGCAGCTCTTCATGGTGTGCACCGCGTGGTGTTATTATCATCATTTATATACATATAAGTGTATACGGAGTATCCAACGAGTGGTGTGGTGTGTGTTTATAGTACTGCACGTAAGCTCCGCGTGAATTCAACATCAATTTTCGCACATTTTACGTAAGAGGGAAAGAAAGAGTTTTCAACAAATTGCTAGTCGCGTTGATGGGATGAACGGGAGTGTATAGGTATGTTTGGCTTCAAAATCTATACCGGTCAAGGGAGTGTGTACTGAAGCAAAAGATGATCGGCAAGTGGAGATATAAGTACATAGAGGAGGGGCATCCCAATTTGCACTTTATTCCCACGTTATGCAGTATTCGTTTTTGTCATTTATTGTTTACATTTTAAAGAATTAATCGAGGTACGAGTTCGTACCAATAGCAAATATATATACCTATAAATTATGTACACGTGGGTTTACGAACGTTAAACTTGAACGTGTAATGCCTAATGCCTTGCACTGATATACCTCACGAATTTCTTACATATGTATACCTGTATGGGCCGCACTTTAATTGCATAGTTGAAAAAAAAAGTAAAAAATAAAAAATAAAACTAAAAACCAGTAACTCGATCGCTATCGCCAAAGTATTACCGAGTCGCGCGTTATCTCATTCCAATAATCAATATAACTTTTGCGAGATGCCCGAACCGTGAATTAATAATACGACCTAGATTATATACTTTCACGAAATTATCGATGATGTATCTCTGACAATCATCATCATTACCATGTTGATATTTGGGTAAAATAAGTAAATCTCCAACGGAACCGAACAGAAATGTGCTTGTTGTGTCACTGTGCGTTTATTTGTGGCGACGTGTAAATTTTATTGCAGATGAGGACAAAAAAAACAAAGGCCCGCAGCTAAAAACAAGCGGTATTTCATCGGATGGCGCAACAGATTGCATGGGAATGATCCCCGAGCGCGTGCAAGAAAAGAGCGGAAATATGATAATACCGGAGAAAAATTTGTCACCGCCTGGGGCGTATATATATATATATATAAGGATACACACAACTGCGCGATGTTTTACGGCCCCAAGTGACGTGAGAAGCAAAAGACTGCGGTATTTCTTTCCTCTTTTGCGCAAACTGATTACACCCAACTGATTGCTCAGGAAGCTTTCGGATTGTCGTGTTTTTTCATCGCGCGTGCGAGCCTCGTAACGCAACATCCCCGATTCTCAACGCTATATATGCTAACAAGATGGGGGGGAGGGGATACTCGCCCCTCTTGTGTAGTGGCGTGGCACAACTTAATTTGCACAATTTTCCTCGGCGTATCTTTTGGTTTAACGAAAAACTGGGAAACAAAGAGAGAAAAAGAAGAATACACGTTTTTAATCCACCGTCGATCGTCACTCGAACGAACCCCCACATATTTTCTCCTCCTGTGTGAGTTGAACCGCGGGTATCATATACATCTGTTACACCGATATTCCTACAAGTATACGCACGTATCATTATTTTGCTCCCGAGCACATAATTTTATTATGCCAGCACTTTTCGTAATAGTTCATAATAAATATACATATATATACCCAACTGCGCCAATTGCACGGTGGAGAGTAAAACTACCGCAGTAATGTGTACTTTCCTTATTGTATACGGGTATGTATGTGTATGAATCATTTCTCACAGAGTTTGAGCACAGGCCCGTTGTTCGCATACCCATCGATACCAGTTACAATGTGAACACACGGAGGCCGGACGATGGAGGGAGGGTATTTTCACAATGGCACCGTTGACTGTACTCTCGTAATTTCAAGGTTGCCAAGCGTGGCGAGCTATGGTCCCTTCCCGTGCCGATGAGGCTCGTGCGCCCGCACGTGGGGGAGAGGGGGGGAAATCGATTTAGATCGGCAGCGCTTTTTTTTTCTCCCTCGCACAGAGATCGGCCGCGGATTGCCGGAAAATGCCGCCCTGGACTAACAAACCCGGACATGCATCGGTGAAACGCGTACATATGCAGATGCAGGAAGGAAAATCAAGCAAGTAACGAACGGACGAGCGCTCGATCGAGAGTCAATTTATCTCTCTCTCTCTCTCTCTCGCTGATGGTTTTTCCCCTAGACTTAAACGTAATTGCGCGCGATTATTCTTTACCTCCTCCGAGTATACTTGCGTTCTCCATCCCCTCGCGGGTACGCGCAATCGGAAATCTCGAGCGCAAAGCTACGCCCTTACAAAAGAAAATGCCTTCGCGGTGTCGCGTGAGAAGCGTAACTCGCATTTTTCGTATATATGACACGGCGTTGCCCAAGCGCAGCTGCAGCCTCGAGAACAAGTATACGTGTACATGTATATATATATACAAATTAATATATTGGCACGCGCGTGTAACTCGATAGCTCTCGGGCTGGGACTTGCCTACTTTGCGCTCGACAGCTACGAGGTATTTTCAATTTTTACAACAGGCTGTAGCGCGAAGTAGAAGAGGAGAGGAAAAAAAAAAAAAAAAAAAAGAAAAAATTGGAAAGTTACCGATGCTAATTGCACTTGTCCTACAATTGCTCGGGTGTTTAATTCATGAGGAGAACCACGTGTTTCCCTCTCTGTGGCGAATCGACGCGATAAAAAAGAATAAACCCCCTTCCACGAGGTTGCGGAGAGAAGAAACGCGATGATAGTGGAAACACGATCGCGATAAATTGTGGCAAAGCTTTTTTTTTCTTTTTTTTCTTCTTTTACGCGTTTAAGCAAACAGAAAGAAAAGGCACTCGTTAACGAGCAAATCACGGGAGTTGATTTAATAAATCAATATCGCGTTCAGTAGCGCAACAACAATAACTGCCCCCGTCGCAGTACAGACCTTCGATCGCAGATAATTTCCAATTCGCAGGAACTACTATGTGTGCTGCACGAGCTTTCTCTCTCTCCCTCTGGTATACCAAGTCGCAATTAGAGAGAGAGGCGGTAAGGTACGCATACGCCAAGTGCATGGTAATATGGGTACGACCACCGCAAGGTTGCAAACTGATGCAATAAGTGGGCACAACGACATTGAAATTGAAAATTTGGTCAATCCGAGTAAGTGTCCGTACGAATGGAAACAAATATTTATTTGAACAAAAAGTAATATCAGTTGATTGATGAAATTTATTTTTATTATTATTATTATTTTTTTTTTTTTCCTAATCCAGAGAAAAAACAGGCCGAGGAGGTATGGGGTTGAATCTCCCGCGATCAATCTGCGCGTGGCTCAAATATTCTCCTTATCCGCGCACGCGAGCTCGAGTCCGGGGAGATTTATAGCCCGAGTCAATGGCTTCGCGTGTGTTTTCGCTTCCCCCCCCCCCTGGGAGAATTATTCATGATTTTCCGTGTTTCGCCCGTACGTTCGTATATGTGTACACACGCTCCAACCGCGCGCTCACCTTGCAATTTCAAACAACTCGATCGCTCTTTATTTATTCGGCTAAATGCAGCCGTTGGCCCTACGCTCGAAGGACCTGTCTTGCGTTGTACTGAACAATCTTGGCTGCTTTTAAACGGAACTCGATTAATACTGGTTAAACTAAAATATTATGTTCTCTCCTCTCCTTCTCTTTCTTCGAGTTCACGGGATCGACGATTGTGCCGTGGGGTTGTTATCTCGTCGTGGTTTCGTTTGTTGCCCTGCGTGTGAGGCTACAGGTATTTTTACACAACGGAATTCCAAAGTACCATACGGCATTACAAATTTTTGGCTCGACTTTTGTCATGTTAAAATTTGCAACAAAAAAAAAAATTTTCTGTAATTTTTTTGTTTTAATTTTGAAAATCACCCAAGCAACGAAATATGCTTTACTTGCTCTGAAAAAAAGGTTGATCGCAGGATAATTTATTGACGCGACGATTGAATTTAAAAAGCCGTTTTTTTGCGTTTAAAAAAACATACCTGCTCTACGAAATGCAAATGAAACAACAACAGCTTGGACGTATATGGCGAGACGTAAAAAAAAAAACATTCCAATGTAAGTGTTTCCCCAATGGTGTAAGAGATTTTACTGTACCACATGTTGGCTCGTTCAGAATATATTGAAAACATTTAGAAAAACAAAAAAAAGATAAAAGACACAGCACGAGTATCAACATACTCATTCCACGCTGCGCTGATTGTAGAAGGTGCTTGTACTTAAAAAATTTTCCAATTGTCACACGGCAACTTATAAAATTTAAAAAAAAGGTTGGAGAACCACTCGTCAGAGGAATAGATCTAAATTTACTTTATTATTATTTGAGTCAATTTTGACCTCGTCCTTTAGTACTCATGGTGACATACGACTACGCGCCATTTGGGAAATGGCTTAGGTCTCGAACCAAGGGTTACGGCTTCACTTGAAATATTGATTTATCATCAATAGTCTTCCATTTGAGCTATACGACTCATACATCACGTATTGTATAAAATATCGCATTAAAGTATAAAATCCAAGAAAATTGCGTTATTTTAGTTCTTCGAACAACAAAGTACGATCCGTCGTAAAAGTTCATCTCGAGCGCAGTTTCGCATTTCACACCGTGAAGCCAAGTTCGAGAAATAATTCCTTCTATTAATACAAAACTAAGGGCGGAAGGGTTATTTTGATTAGGAAAATTTGCTTTTCTGAGAAAAAAAATACCTAAAATCACTCCAGTGCCTATACTGATGAAGGTTGCCCGAGCAACGCAAATATAAGCACAGTATAAAGTGATGATTTTTCATTTTTCCCCACGCCAAAGGAAGTTAGTATATTTTTCAAGAATATTGATGTCCAAACTGTACGTATACGTCATCACAAGTGCTCATTGTTTTATTTATTTCTTGATATTTTTTAACCTAATTTGTAGCCTCGGCCGTATTCAAGTATTGCAGCATTAGCCCAACAATCAACGGACTGAGACCTATCGATATATATGTGTATTATACCAGGTACCAACGCTCCAAAGCGAGCGAGGAGTGAAAAAAAAAAAAAAAACAGATTTATAGGACTGAGCCCACTTACTCATTTTCTCACCCAACCGACCAACAACGATTTCACAGTTTTTATCCATACCGCGAATGATTGACGGTCGCAGCGCGCGGGAAACTCTGTTTGATCGGTTTGTTTTTCCCTCTTTTTTTTCACTTCGATCCACCCCGTTATCGCCAGTCCAAACGCTACACGCGTCAATCGTGTGGTTCCGATCGGTAAGTATATATCATGCAGATATATCCTTCCCGTAAGTCATAATACAGTAAATTAACGTCATGCCGACCAAACGTGAATATATCCATCACGATTCAGTGTCAAATACCACCTTTCCCTCCGTATGTATAATGAAGATCTAAAGAAAAAAAAAAAATTCTCGATCGTCTACCTTTTGTTTCCTCAATCGGCGAGCAAACAAATATGTATGTACATCGTAGAGCTTTTCGTTACCTGGGTACAGCTGTCGTCGTTTTTTCACCTTCTTGGTCCCGTTGACTGCTATGGTAAGGATGGCGCAGAGCAGGAGCACCCAAAGTACGCAGTGCCGTTGAGCCATTCTGTAACGAAACGCCGCACTTAAGTAAAAATTTTCAGTCAAAAGCATTACATGGTAATCACATATCGCTGTATGCATAATACATTATACATAGTTGGTGCTGGGTAGAATAGCTTATAATATATTGTATAACGGTTAATTGACAACGCGCGCCACAAGTTATTATTAGGTACACCTACGAACAAGTGTATATTATTGCTCGACAGTCAAAATCCATCAATAATACCTTACGTCCACAATATGGGCATATATATATATGTGTGTGTGAGTGAGTGTGTGTGTGTGAGTGTGTGTGTGTGTGTGTGTGTGTAACGCATGAACGTACAGTATGTAGGTGCGTTAGCAAGTTTTAAGTCCTGGGTAATGGTAGAGCACGACGATCGTTAGGATTAAATTACATTTAATTAATTTGAGGAAACGATCGGCACGAGCGAGCAACCGATTTTTTTTTTTCAACTTTCTGTATACATATATACGCAGTGGCTGTCGGCTTTGTTATACAACTCCATCGGGGGCTAAAAACCATGAAAAACCCGCCAGTCGGCTTCATTTTTTTTTTTATCCCGGCAGTACTAACTTTAGGTATACCCTACCCCGTTGACGCATATATTTTTACGATCCACCAGCGAGAGAGCAAACGACGTTTGGGACCGAAAGAGTCCTGGCATAGCTCAATCGGATCGAAATCTGGGTTAGCGGGAGTGCCGTCACTTTCTTCTCCCCCGTTATCGGGTATAGCGGAGCAAAAATACATTTTCCCCCCTGACAAGTGGCCGCAGGAGCCCGAGTGAAATTTTCAATTTCCACGACGCGCAACTAGATTTTCCTTTTCATCGATAAGTACCCGATATACCACCGGGCAAGACCGCCATGTAACTTGTCGCGTTAATGAATTTCAAAATACCCATAATATGCGTGTTTCATGGTGCCGCGTGTCCGTATCTCGCGTGCAGCGGTTACACGTAGGTATACATGTTATAGGTATATGTTATGGCTCCGTTACACTTTCAGCCACGCTCGTTCAAGGACGCGCGCTTGGGTATATCATACTTTGCACTTGGGTTTTGGAAAAAAAAAAAAAAAAAAAAAACTGCACGAACCCGCGGTGCGAGCGCGCCTGGACGGAACGCGCGAATTAAGTTGTACGTGCCGGTCCTCCCGGCGACGCTTCGAAGCCCCGCAAAATTAACCCCCGACAACCCAACGCCGAGCACTCGCGTATTTATACGAGAGTACGTCCGCGTACGTGCCCCGATGGCTCTCGGAACACCCGAGTTTCCGGTAAAAATTAAAACACGGACTTATATGTATGTATAACACTGGTGCCTGGCCCGCTCCCTATTTTCCGTCTATTAGTGGTAATATTGTAGGTGGGCTCGCGCGACTGAACGGCAAATCTCTCGGAGGCAAGCTTATAAACGCCGGGAGAAAGTAAAGGGGCCCCGCCGCCGTAGTCTCTTTAGCGCCGTGCCATATGTATATCCATTTATAAGTATGTATACGATACACCCCACACTGGCATCCAAACCAAACATACCACCACCACCACCGATATTTACGTACATATAGGCACACGGATTGGGAATCACGGACAGGGTGGAGGGGTGTCTCGCGGGAGGGGTCCCTCTTCCGATGATATGCTGAGACGCGCGCTGAGGTAATCGTATACCTGCACTCGTGCGACTAAAGAGCGTCAACCGGTCGTGTGACGATTTTTCTTTTGGATGATCTTTCTGTACGTACACAAAAGACCCATGGGTGGCTAATTGTATACATAAATGTATACTCCTATTGCACGGCCCATATATTTTTTTTCCGCCAATCAACGAGTGACTGATTTACATTTTTGGTTGAACCGCTTGAATCTCATTTAGACCCAAAAAAACCATAGTCATGCAACAACGAGCTTACATGCAGGTACAAAAGTGAAATAATTAACATTACATAAAAGTAAAGGTTGTTGTCTGCAAAAGCATTGGCTATATATGTATATGGATTATAATTATATTGGAGGAGGCATGAAAAGCCATCGTGAGAGAATGAACGTGTGCCGTTGCTTAATCCGCGAATGGTATCAATGGTGTATCGTAAGTCACCCGCCCTGCTCTCTCTATCTTCTGAGATGCATCTCGGGGGAAAATGTGTAACGCGCGTTTTCATGCACATCCAAACCTTTTGCACGGGCAACTTTATTGCAGGCTCCGTGAGGTTACGTGACTCTCGTTCGAGTGTGTGTACTTATTGAATTCAAATGGAGAAATTCCGCGAGTCGCAAAAACAACAAAAAACACGCGCGTAGGTACCATAGCTAATATATAGGTTTGTGTGGCCGTAAACGCAAAAAAATCAACTAGTGGATGGCCGTTTTTGGCCAAAATTATCGAGCATTATATGTGTCCGCGGTAAAAAGTGCAACAAAAAAAAAAAACTCCCCATATCTATAGTTCACAGCCGGGTATACACACTTTCACTATTTTGTTATTTATGGGTGCACCTATGCTGCCAAATTTTTTGCAAGCGACACTTTTCAAGTAAACGCAAGAAAGATAAAAAAAATATGCACCCAAGTGAAAGTTTGAATGATGTGGTATTGTCAATGGTAGCAAGTGGGGCTGTGGAAATAAGATTTTTGAGGCTCCCGGATAAGTGTTATATAACATAATCGCTATTGATACGTGGTTTGCGTTTACATTAATTTTTTTCTTTTCATTTACGCTTCCTCTTTGTCAAAGAAGCTAGACTTGAATTCTGTGGATTTTCAGCACCCAGCAACATACACCTTAACTTCAATGTACTTGGTTTCGCATGTAAATTATTTAAATGCGAGTAATCGCTTAGAATTTGCCGAGCGGCACCAGTACCTACTCCTCCTACGCAGATTCTCGTCCCATAGCAGGAAAGACCGTGAAAGGCTATAACTTTATACGGTTAGCGACGATGTACTTAAAAGTGAGATCCATCACTTGCGATTATCACTATGACCAAAGGATTTAGCAAAGGAGCACTGGTTAATACCACGATGTGTATCTATAGGTAAAATTTTTCTGCGTTACAATTGTGTGAGAACCATGTACGTGAAGGACGGAACTTGGTTGTATTCGATACGTTATTGCCTTTCGAATAGAAAACTAACGTATATACATGTATGTATAAAAATGTAGGTCGGAACGAGAAAATAATGGATCGATCGCCTGTGCTTGTTCGTGACCTTTAAATTTCGCAACATACAACAAGTATATACGAGTGTCCAGCAACGCACCAGATACATGGCTGATGAACAATACCCAGTTATTATACAGATCTGTATGTATCACATTGCGTTGTTGAGCATAAAAAATACCTACTGTAATAAGCACGCGGAGGCGAGTACTTCGAGGATTCTATGGTGTTTGTGCAAAATAAAATGTGGCTTAACGAAATTTCACCGCGTCACTCATAGAATCAATACAGTAGGTATGAATAGTTAAAAAAAAAAAAAAAAAAAAAAAACATTCAACCATTTTCCACTTAAATGACAAACCGGCAGCTTCATTTTTTCCGCAATCGCAGCTCTCCCTGCTTTTAGCTCTCGGAGGTGAATTTTCCTCAAAGCCAATCCAATGAGGTGTGCCTATACTCTCGACTAATGATCCACGAGCCGGTATATACATATGGCGCTCCTAATGACGCTTCATTAACAAAGAGCAGAGGACAGCAACAAAGGAATCTTTTATTCCGTCTTCCATTATGTGTATATACTTGTATATGTTTCATCATCAAGTGTATACCCACCTGCATTTTGTTCGGCTCGATTGACGCACTATACGACCGTTTCTACATCATTATCGCGATGTACCACGTGCGCGCGTTATTTGTGTGTACTTGGGCACATTTTTTTTTGTTGGGGGGGGTTTTTTTTTTTTTTTTTTTTTTTTTTTTTTTTGATTACGTGAACGATCATTCAAAAATGCCTTTGAAACCTATTACTTGGAAATTTTGTAAGTCCTGACAATAGTTGTTTCTAAGTGAATTTTCGGGTAAATAGTACCTCGTATACGTAAGTGGATTTTTTTTTTTAATTTCAACGAGTATTTATATGAAGAAAAGTGATCAAAAAAAGAAAAAGCAACACGTTTCTTTCTTATTTTTAGGACAAATTTCGATGTGCCCTTACTACTGTCTGCTCGAAGTACGATTCATCACTTTTTAAATTTTGTATTCTATCAAGTTGTCAATTTTTATTACTAACTTGTAAAGTTTTGATTGATAATAAACGTAAAGTATACATGCATAGAAAAGTTTAGCGTTTGATCATGTGCCTTTTGGGTATAACTTTTTCTAACGCAAAGTGTTACTAATTTGATAATAAATACTAGTTCCCGCGTTTGGCTCAATAACCAGTTTTTTTAATTTTTGCAATCCATGTACGAACGTAATTATTATGCGTATAAATTTTGTTTGAATTTTCCATGTTACGTTGAGATTCCAATGTCAGATTCAATTGCACGGAATAGTACGCAATGAAAAAAAAAAAAAAGTATAAAAAAAATCCACACACCTTGGAGCAAGTTCAATGCTCATTTTCACTTTCATTATCACGACCAGCACCCACGCGCTTGGCTCGCGTTGGAGGAAAAAAAAAAAAAAAAAAGAACGAGCTCAAAGCAACGTGCGGTTTATAGTCTCTAAAAGTGTTGTCTCCCGATGAAAAGCAAAACTACGCGACAAACGAACAAAAAAACCTCGCAATTTGTCATCGCGTACATATAAATAGTACTTACTTTGACTTTGAAAAGTCTCGGCCAATCGTCGCTGTAAGCTACAAGTGTCCAAGTCGTCTAAAAACGCGCACGAGCCGCATGGACCGTACGTACAAGTAAGGTATAATACCAATGGGTGAAGAAAAAAAAAAAAAAAAAAAAAAAAAAAAAAAAAAAAAAAAAAAAAAAAAAAAAAAA